GTCTTCTGAAATCGCCTTCTTTTTCTTTGATTAGGAATTTTCTGAATCCTCAACATCAAATCATGCAGCAGCAAAAATCGTGTTAATACTTGTGGTTAGCAAGGAAGTGTAACTGTAATTGATAATAAAGTTCAAAGAGGAATCTAATACAACTCAACAAACAATTGACATAGAATATCAGATCGGATTATTAAAAACTTATCTTGACGAGTGGTTGCTCTTTGGATGATGGTTTTGTATCTCATGTCGTCAAATCTCGTGTGGTGGAAGCCATTGATAGGAACGTTCCAAGCGGAGACTCGTATGGTGAGCTCCGTATTCCCTTTTTTTTTGCGTTGGGTTTTTTGTCAGGGACTGAGACGTTCAGCTCGGTGAAGAAATATAGCTTGGGGCGTATAACAGAAGTCTGACTTAAAAGTCCTCATCTTTAAATGTCCCAACCTAAGAGCGAATGGAAGGATGACCTGGAAGGATATGAAAGACACGGTCTAAGAAGACGACCTGGTCTTTTTGTTCATCGTCGAGCTATGAGATTTTTTTTTTTTAGTTTAACCGGTGGTGTTTATCGACCATCTTTGAGCCCGGCTTCTTTTAAAGATTTAGTCTCTTTCTCCCCTCAGACGGCGCCAACTGTAAAAACTCAAGTTCGATCTACGAAAGAACTAGGGTTTTGAGGGTTTTAAAGAGATCTTTTATTAGAAGAAGCCGGAGCTTGATTGAATACAACGGTGTTTAGGTCGTCGGAATAAGAACGCCGACCTAAAACTCTTAAGGAAAGTAAACCAAAAAGGCTAGAACAATCTGATTGCTTAGTTTGCTCTAGATTAATGATTTTCGGATGGATTGAGAAATCGAGGACTTCCTATATTTATACCCGATCAGGTCGGTCTTCATCCTGTTCGGAATAGGAAACTCTTGTCGGCAAGGAGTTTCCTTTTTTTCCGGGTCGCTTGATAAATGGAAGCTTTCCTTTTATGTTGCCGACCTGGGAATTGTTAGATGGGTCGACTAGAATTCATATCGGGCTTGTTAGAGACGATACGAATCTCATCTCTAACAGGTCACTTATTATAATGACAATACTGTAAAAAAATTCTCACTGACTTCGCAAATAAGATGAGGGGTTATGTGCAAAATGAAAGAAATTAATGATATGCTACCATTCTGTATGTAGGTATTATACAAACTATATATTGTAGCATCTATTCTAAGTTTAATTGTATTTGAAATATAGAGTTTGAAATGTTAATATACAATGACTCAAGCAATACTATACTACTAAATTATAGTCCAAAGTTTATCAAATTCCACAGGCATTTACTTCTGTATAATTCAGGTTTCCTTCATGTCTTAGCTTTGGGCCAAGCAATATCATGGGCTTGCATCAGGGCCTGTTGATCCCAGGAACGACAACTCCCATGCAAATTCAGCTTCTGCTCCCATGCGTGATCGCATCGCACCAACGAGGAGAACACGCGTGTTACGTTCACTAAATTAGTGATATCTCGAAGTAGTATCTAAATGTTTTTTTTTTTTTGAAAAAACTAAATGTACTTTTACAATACGTATTTCAGATAATCAGATTATGCATTCTATGGATGGTAAAGGTATATACACTTCAGATTTTTTTTTGGGAGGGTTTTATTAATACTTCCGATTTATTCCCTTATAAATCTTGTTTGAAGAGTTATGTTATTATCTTTACATTATTTTTGCACTTGATGTTGCAGTTTCATTAACTATGCTCTTTAAGTTTCATTGCTGCATCTCACTTTTTAGTATTATTTGTATCGAGTTTAGAAGACTTCTCGATATTTCTAATAGTTGAAATATTATGTTTGTTTTTATTTTTGTATGTTAGCTTTTCGATTTACTGTTGTTGTATCAGATTTTTAGCCAGTTTGGTTTTGTTATTACATTTTATAAACATTTTCTTTATTAATGGAAAATAAATATATTATAAAATGTTCTTGTTGAAAAAAAAAATTATGCATTATCTTAAAATTAGCCAAGGCAAAACCAGAATAATTTGTTTATTTCAAGTGTGAAAGTGTCGAATTGATATTTGACTAAACGAATCGAAAGACGTGTCTTTTCCGTACAGGGATTTTTATATTTTCTGTTTGGCCTTTTCCTACTTTATTAATTTATTGCTCTTTTTAACTAGTTCCAATTCACAAGTTGGCTACTATTTTTTTGCATAAAAAAGTAATCAGTTACTTATTCCATTATTATTGAAATACGAATAAAATACTGCTGCCTAGCGTTGACACACACATACCAAACAAAATAAAGATATTGCTGCTTTGATTGGAAATAAATGCGATAATAACTAATGCTTAATGCCGCAAATGTTTAGCAAATCATACTCTTTCATAAATTATTATGAAGCACACTATAGAGTTAGGGTTCCGGATGTCAGATTGAGTCATTGTCTTGTTAGCTGGTTCAATTGATCACTTCATAATTCAATAATTTCGAGTAATGTTTTAGATTCTGTTTTTTTTTTTTAACTCGTTTTAGATTTAGCTGACAATTAATTTTGTTAAAATTATTTCAACTAAGATGGTGAATTACATGCGCTAGATATAAGTTAATTTGTGATTTTATGATTTTATATAACGAATATTAATAGCTGAACCAGCTGAAATGAGTTTGAGGAATTACTTAACTTTCAAGTAAAAAGAGATTTAACGTTCAAGTAAAAAGAGATTACTGTGCTAAGAGTGGCAAGAGTTTTATAGTGTTAAGAGTTACGAAAAAGCTGAACAAGCTGGATGAGTGTATCCGTCTAGCGATCAGAAGGATGATAAATCAGTGACGCAAAGAGAGTGACGCCATTTAATAATTAGTTGAGTGTTTAGAAAATAATAATTTCCTCTCATCATATATTATTCCCTCCGTTCCACAAAGATTGATGTTTTGAGTATTTTTTTTGTTCCACAAAGATTGATGTTTTAAGATATTAAATACAAATTTTTGTAGATTTTAAGAAAAGTAACTGAAATTATTTAAATTTTTAAATTGTTATTGGTTAACATCTACTAAAAGGAAATGATTACCAAAAAGTAATGTATTTATAATCAAAAAGTAATTGTTTCTTAATATGTATAATTAGTCTAAAACATTATACTTTCTAGAAGGGAGGGAGTATTATTTACAATTCTTTTTTTTTGTTCAAGAGTAGGAAAAAAAAAAAGTAAAGGATAATAAAGAACGAAAAGGGGAAATCCACGCGGAGAGAGGTTTGAAATGTCGTCGGTCCATTGTCTACTCTTGACTCATCCTGTCCCTTGGAAACTTTCTAATTCTTATGTGTATCTTCTTTCTTCAGATTTTTTTTTTCTATTAAGCCAATACAAAGTATCTATGTTAATTTCAGTTACGTTTTTCCTACGTTGACAACGTTTCTTCTTATAGTAAAACGATATTATATTACGAGTAGTAAACAACTGTGTAATAGGACGAGTTTATTGAATTCGACATTGGTAATTCCATTAGTTAAACTCTAAAGAATTCCGTTAATTAAACTCTAAGCATTTTATGTCACTTAGGAAACTTTAATTTCTTTTGTCAACAGATAATTGTTATTCTAGTTTTGTCCATCCTCCATACAGTGTTATAAGTTTATTCCACAATTATATGTGTTATGTGTGTGTGTATATATTATATATACTCATGGTTGGTACTTTGGTATTGTACGGAGTCTTTTATAAATGTTAAACCTATATATAACCTTAAAGTATCATTATAGGACTATACTTGTGTGTTAACTTCGGCTATGAAATTTGTTATGATTTTGGAATAAGGGATTATATCTTGGTTATTATGAACAAAACATGCAATCTAAAAATTTGTACTTAATCACCACTGTATCAGTATCCTAATATAATTGGAAGAGTGTACGATGTTGACTGAAATGAAAAAAGAAAAAAAAAAAATACTACTCCAATCAGTATAGTTATTACAGAGGAAATAATATTTCCTACATATAAGTGGTCCAGATACATTATAAATAAAAATTTGATGGGAAATAAAGCTAAAAGTATCAATCAAAGAAATGAATGTTCGAATGGAATATCAATCTGACTATTTGAGATATAGCTTCATGGTTGGACTTGGTCAGCAAAAACCTTATCATGCTATTGTATAACTAACTACTGTATCTCACAATTTTTGTAAATGACTGGCTTTTTATGTAAATGTTTAGAAATTTGTATAATTAATCAATTCATCTGCAACATGTTTTATTCTCCATTTTCAGATATTTGTAATTGATTATACAATTTAAAAAGTAAATATATATATAACCTGAGTTAATCTAGTTGGATTTCTGATTGAGTTTTTAAGTAAATCATTTAAGATATTGAATTTCAATAATAGATAACATTATACTGATATTTGTTAAGAACTTATGATACATAAATACATTGTTACTTACACCTAGTAGTATATAGTATAATAAACGGTTTATGCAGATATTTTGTTTATTATTGTTGACAGTATAGACATCACAAAAGATAAGTTTAAAACTGAAAAATCATCCAAAGAGCGGTTGTTTTATACGAATGAAAGAATCAAACAAAAACAAAATTTGATATTATAGAGAATCTTAATCACATGTACAGAAGTCGTAGCTTTGAAAGGGTAGAATGAAAGCGACAGTTGTTAAACCCCTTGTTGTCTAATTATTTAGTTAACCACTATATTTAAATAAATGATCTACTTGGTTATAAGTTATCTAACTAACATTAACAAAATTGCAAAGTTGAATTGGTCAGCGTTTGACCTTGTAACCTTCATTCACTACTACCACCACCCCACTTAAAGATACACTCTGGCCCAATATATTTTCCTCATACCAAAGACTTTTCTTCACTTTGAAAGTTTTGTCTTTTTTTTCCTCTAAAACAAACTTTATAGTATTAAAAATAATTCTTTGAATTATTTTATGGTTCCTCGCTTGGTCAAAATTTCAAACCCTCAAATCCAATGCCTTTATATTCCAAACCAACACTCATCAATTTTTCCACAAGCCCCATAACACTCTCATTCTCATCATATCATACTTTCTATCCCCAACACAAAATTCAGATAATATATAACTCATTACTATAAGAGACACATTCTTGTTTATAGTTTTACCCACATTCTATATCTTTCTCATCAAATCAAAGATTTTTCTTAAAGTGATGAACTAACTCTATTTGTTAAGTATATAATAATTTGCGAAAATTCTTAAACAATCTTTTTTGAGAGTCATATATTCAAAATGGAAGGTAAAAATATGTTAAGCTGGGAGCAGAAAACATTGCTAAGCGAGCTCATTCTTGGATTTGAGGCCGCAAAAAAGCTTCACGCACGACATGGGGAAGCACCATCGCCATCTCCGTCGTCATCATCTTCTTCTCCGGTGGCGGCGGCGGCTGAGACGAACGAGGCTCTAGTGAAGCAGATACTTTCTTCCTACGAGAAGTCTCTTCTCATGCTAAACTGGTCCCCCTCGCCGTCCGTACAACTTATTCCGACGCCGGTTGCTGTAGTTCCGGTGGCGAATCCCGTCCGCATTCCGGAATCTCCGGCGTCTATAAACGGAAGTCCGAGAAGTGAAGATTTCACCACCGATGGAGGAGGATCCAGCGAGAGTCATCGCCAGGATTACATTTTCAATTCAAAGAAAAGGTAACAACAGCAATTCCCGGAGAAATTGGGGTTTTTCTTTCAAAATTCACCAAATTGAATGACATCATGATATTAATTTCAAATTTTTGGGTGAATTTTGCAGGAAGATGTTGCCAAAATGGTCAGAAAAAGTGAGAATTAACCCAGAAAGAGGCTTAGAAGGACCTCAAGATGATGTTTATAGCTGGAGAAAGTACGGCCAAAAAGACATTTTGGGCGCCAAATTCCCCAGGTAACATCATCATCATCAATCATCACCAATCATCATCATCAATTCATCATCATGATGAGATACTAATTCAATTTCTTTGTGATCTTCAGGAGTTATTACAGATGCACGCATCGTAGCACACGGAACTGTTGCGCGACGAAGCAAGTCCAGAGATCGGACGGTGATCCAGCGGTTTTCGAAGTGACGTACAGAGGAACACACACTTGCCCACAGGCGATCGCACCTCCACCTCCTCCTCCACCAGCCTCGCCGGAGAAGCAAGACACCAGACCCAAACCGACCACTACTACTACCCAAAAGCCTAATGAGCTTCTCGAGAGTCTCAAAACCAGCTTAACCGTTCGAACCGACGGGCTTGACGACGTTGACGACGTTTTCTCGTTCCCCAATACGCCGCCGTTTTACGATTACGGGACTATCAGCGGCGACTTCTGCAGCCACGTGGAGAGTTCTCCGATGTTCGACGTTGTTGATTGGTTCAATCCAACGGTAGAGATTGATACGGCCTTCCCCACGTTTTTACCCGAGTCGATTTATTATTAAGATTACATTACTAGTACACTCATTTAGAGAAATTACTGAGCTTAGATAACTTGTATCCATTTTTTTTTTTTTTTGGTTAAAGAGAGTAATTTGAGTTAACAAAGCATAAGAAATGTTCAACAGGACTTGAACATATTTTCTAAGAGATTTTTCTAGCTACTGGTCGTAGCCGCAGACTTGTTGTAATCTTCCAGTTCCTTCTTGTATGCTTCCATCAACTTTGCAGCTTTTGCGTTGTAAACTTGCTTCTCTTCTTCACCCAATTCCTGCAAGATATGATATTTACCCAGACAAATTAATAACATGAACACTCTTAATAGACAAATGATTAAACTCGTCATTCTAATTTTGCATACCTTCCACTTCACTGAGATTAGAGCTGTGATTGTCGAGTTGCTTGTCCCAGGACGTTCTTCTGTCAAAGTCTTCCTTGCGTCTTTGCTGTATAAACAAGTTTTCTTTTAACAGTTAGAAACTTCTATCATAAATAAAAAAGAGCTTAGGATTCTCTGAGTCATTTTAACTTTTGAGACTCGTACCTGAAGAGAAAGTATGAAGAAGCAGGCTTCTTGGGTTTGTTAGGGTCAACGTTTTCGTTCTTCTTCTTCTTGGTCTCTTTCTCCTTCTGCAAGAGACATTATTATGATCCTGTTAGTCTCTCAATTGTAACAGTGAGTTAAAGAAGGGTAAAAGAGTCAGTGAGTGACCTTAATCAGATTATCGGTTTTCTCCTTCTTCTTAAGGAGTTGGAGAGCTTCCTGTTTATGGAGTTTCAAGAGCTCCTCTTCTTCTTTCTTCTGGCTCATGGCCTCTTCTTCCTTCGTCCTCTTGTATTCCTCCATTGCTTGCAGGTATATCTCCTTGTTCTTCTTTGACACCTGTTAAATATTATACCACAATTTTGTTCACTTTTCAAGTCTTTAATGGCTAAGTATGCAAGCATAATAATGTATGGAAACAGACCGCTTCGTAGGGTGCCTTTTGTTTATCTGACAACTTCTTCCACTCTTCTCCAGTCATCTTTGCGACCTATAACCATCATTCAATTCAACTCCATAAGTTAGCTTCAACGTTTAACAAAAAGTGGATCTTAAGAGAGACTAAACTACTTAAGAATCTACCTCCACAACGCTCTTGTTCTCTTCGCGTAAAGCAGCTCTCCTCTCGTTTGCATAGACCAAGAAGGCAGATATGGGATGTTTTGGCTTCAGCGGGTCCTTCTGCTTCCTGCAAACCATGAATTGAATAGCTCTAATCAGTTTACTATTTGTGATCAATTGATTTTAATAATGGGAAATGTATTTTTGGTTTTATACTTGTTCTTCTTCTTGTTGTCCTGTTCAGCTTCCTGCACAAACTGGAGATACTGATCAAGCAAATCCATTGCAGTTTTCTGCTTATGCTCATCATCCAGAAGCTTCATGGCCTCCCTCTCGCGCTTCTCCTTAGCAATGACCTGAAGGTAAGCTTCTTTCTCCAACTGGTACTTCTCCTCGTAAGGCTTCTTATCTTCTGCGGTAAGTGACTTCCACTTAGCGCCCAGAATGTTCGAGGTCTCCTTGAAGTCGGCCTCAGGGTTTTGCTTCTTGACTTCATTCCACTGTTCCTTACACCACAGAATGTACGAAGTTGATGGACGCTTTGTCTCAGGACAATCCTTCTTCTTCTTCTTATTCAACTTTTCTTGTTCGGCCTGTGTGAGAGATTGACCGCAAGCAAAAGTCTGAAGAGCAACACAGGACACTCTCAAGTCAATAACCAGAATCAAACATATAGAAGATAATCAAATTAACACATTACTCCCTCAATTGAAATTAACATATCAGCCATACTAATTTCAAATCTATGAAGAAACGGATATCATATATATCAAGCCAAAATCTCAAACGAACAGCTACGGAAACAGCATATATATTCCAAACTAATCTTAAGAACCTAAGTATATCGAATCTAGAAATCGATGATCAAGTCAATAATCAATCATATCTGTAGAATCAAAACCTAACTATGTTCCCATCTATTCACAATATAGCTAAGTAAATCGAGAACCAAAAGCTAGATCTAGAGAATGTACCATGTTAGGTTTGAATTCCTTCATCTTCTGAAGTTTCTTCAGCTCCATCTTAAGCTTCTCCTGCTCAGCGTCTCTCGTCTCTAGCTCCTCCTCTTTCTTCCTCAGAATCTCGTCCTTCTCCTTCAGCAGCTCCTCCGTCTTATCCTTCTCGATCTTCATCGTCTCCAACTTCGTCTGCATCTCCATCAGATCTTTTTCGAACGACTTCGACGATTTCTCCTTGGCGGAGACTGGCGACACAGGCGTCTCCGCGATCTCGTTCTTCTGTTTCAACGCCTTTCTGCTCCTTGGTTTCTTCGTCGGAGCTGGATCTGCGGTACTCGCCATGTCTAAGTCGAGGAGATGGAGATTTTCGAAATTTCTCAGAGACTGTGAATGTGTGATTTAAGTGGAGCCTCTGCAATTATCTCTTGGTTTATATAAAAAGGTAAGGCCAACGGTGTACTAATTCGAAATTCAAAACTTTTATTTTGTGGATTTAATACTCATTTGGCGTCCAATGACAGATTGTTGAATCTTTTTGAATTTTGAATTTCCCTCTTTTTAGGAAGGAAATTTCCTCATTGACTATACTTGAAAATCCGGTTCACCAGTATATCTTTACACAATCTCAAAAAAAAAAAACATAAAATATTGTTTCTACTTTTTACAATACCGGCAAAACATTTTTTAACAAGTTAAAGACATTTTTTATTGAAATTATTATAAACGAGATCTTAAGAACCTAAGTATATCGAATTTTAAAATATTAACGCATGTCAAACCGGTTTCAACCAGCTATCTAATCAGAGGATTTCATTACTTTGAGTAAAATCCGTTTCACGAATATCACATCTTTTACACACAATCTCGTTTTCTATAAACAGAAAAAATATAAATAATGGTTTTACAAAACCGGTTTTGCTTTCTCCACCGACAATCCCAAGAATCAATTTTACCCACTTTTGTTCAATACACACAACAAATTTGAACCGTATTAGTCTATTTATCCCCAGAGAACCGGTTTTCCAATTCTTCCGGGTTCATCCCAATGGCAATTAACCCAACCACAATCTGCCCGTCCGGTTTAGCCATTTACTATGGTCTCCAATATAACATCATTCAAGTAATCAATCGGACCAGGCAAGCACCAATGCAGACAATCGTTCTGTACCTTCGCGTTTTTGTCTTTATCAAACGGCCTAAACTGTCGGTACGCACCCGGATGCCCATCGGGTCGGGTCAGCAGCATCCCGGTGAAATCCAAAAGCTTTAGATTATTACCACCGTCCTGACCCGTCTTCTCTCTGACCGCCCTCTCGAACTGACCAACCTCAATATCTCTGAGTATCTTATGCACGTTTTTCATCTCAACCTCCTCATCATCACCCACTGGCTCCGTCTGCTTACACGTCCCACCGTTATGCCACTCCCCGTTTTGGAAATGATCCGGCGTCGAAGTCCGGAAAAAAACCGTGCCTTTACGGTTAGTTTCCTCTGCTACGAAGTCCATCACATTCCGCAGCGACGCGTTGTAAGCGTAGTCGAATCCCAACTCCTCCATGCGAGACTTCGCCGGACAGATATGGCAACCGACCGGTTTCGCGTTCTCGTGGTAAACCGCGGCTTTGAGATACCATTTACCGGTCGAGATAATCGCGTAGTCCAGGCTCGGCATTAGGTTGGTCCACGTCTCGTCGAGTTTGTCAAGGTGTAGCTGGACCGAAGCGGTCGAGACACCGTTTGAATCTTCGAAAATAGCGGCTTGGACTAGAAATGGCGACCAAATGTTCGATATAGTTAGGTTATGTAAAGGAAAATGCCATCTTTTCGATCTGTAGTCCTTGTCGTGGTATACTTCAACCGGTTCTTCAACCTGGAAAAGACCGGCGGGATAAAAAACGGTTTTTAAAGAAGTTGGAAAGTAAAAAATCGAAAACAGAGAGATGTTATAACAAAGCAATGTACCATATAGAGCATACAGAGCAGAGATTCGACGTGGTTACGCGATATGGAGTCACCGATGAATGCCCAAGATTTGTTCTTCATAAGTTGAAGAAACCTTCGAGGATCAAAACGTGGTAACAAACAGTCATGAGGTTTCCATTTCCAGTAGAGAAAGTCTGAGTCAGGTCGGCCATTGGTGATGCAGTTTTGGTGACCATCGATGAGCATACCGCATGAGCTGTTTGTGTAGATTGGTCCTAATGAATCTGGAATCCATTTACCGGCGAAGAGATCGCACTTCTCTATTTCGATATCTGAATTCAAAAAACAAAGAAGCAAGAACTTGTTATTAGCTCCAATGTGAGATCAGCTTTGAATCAAAATGTTGCAACAAGCGTTCAGGATCAATTTATTAGAAACCAGTCTTTGAACATTGCGGATAACTGAGATTACTCTATCAGAGAATTTTGAATCAGACATTGTCAAACAAGTTGAAATTGTGAACAGACTCGAATATGAAACAAAAGCATGAATTTTCAAATTGTACTAATGTTAGAATTAAGAGCCAAATTATACGAATCATCACAAGAAGTTTTGAGTGTAAAGACTCAAAAGTCAAAACCATTAGAGTAACTTTCAATGCGACAAGCAAGATCCATGATTCATTACTTCCTAAACTCGTAAACAAAGCTTCAGATCTTGCAGATCGAGAAACATATTCCAAGACCACTAGATCTCATCACTGTTGCTCATAAACAAGGTTTAGAACACAAAACACACAACGGACGAGATTCGCAGAGAAGTCAAATAGTTTTCGCTCTACTGGCTGATCTTACCCTGAGGTATGAGATCTTCGTTTTCCGGCACGATGACCCTCGGCGGCAGAACCCGTGCTTCGAATTTTCCGGTGACCGACGCAAAGACTGGGGAAAAATCAGTGGAGTGGAAAATGAAGAGACGGAGAGCAAGAGCAGTTATGAGAATAGCGGAGATGAGCTTGATGAGAAACACATTCTTACGAATCATGGAGACTGAGATCAACTTCAGCTTCATCTGAACAAGATATGCAGAGAGTGTCTTGGTTTTTTTTGGTATGTGTGTTATTCGACCAACCAATGGTCTACACTTTTATTTATTCTTTGTTTATAAAATCATTCGACGATTGCTTAAAAAGAACCATATAATAAAAGAAAGAATTAAGAACGTATTAATTTTTTTCTCTGATTGTTAATTGTTTTTATTTTTTTTGTCAAAAACTATTTTACCAATTCAGAAATGTCATTTCATCATTTTACATAATTCTGGAAAGCCTTTTGAAAGATAGTACTGGAACAATGAATATTTGTGACTAAATTCAGATTATCTCATTAAATTCGTGCAGTGGCTAATGAGTAATGACTGAAATGCAAAGTTAAGGAGCCAAGAAGTGTAATTAACATGGTAAAGAAAAGAGGTCAAGATTTTAATGGGCTTGGGCCACTTGGCTTGTGTCAGAGACTAATCAAAAGTCAGAATGATGATGGTTTTGGCGAATATAAATATGGATTTTCGAATAACAATAATTAAATGAAGTTATCATCTTCTGCATAACACTCACTTATACTTCCCGCTCTCTAATTTCTCTAATTTCCACGGACCATCTCCGCCGAGCTGAGATTCTTTGGTTTTGCTCCTTCTTAGCTGCGTCTTCAGGTAAGAGATTGAATTTTTTTCTTACCGAGTAAGGTTTTCTCGGGAAAATCCCTTTTCTGTGTCTATTTCTTTTGTTTTCCGGTTTGCATGTCGGGTTCAGATTTTCGTCAAATGAATCTGTTCGAGGAATGGCGAAGTTTGTGAATCCCTTGTTTCAAACATTTCATTTTTCTTCCATTGTTCAGCTGATTTTGTTCCGGAGTTGCCTGAAGTCCAGATTTGGGTATTTAGGGTTTAGTAATCTTAGCAAAAATTAGCGAGTAATTCCCTAGAAATTCTTTGCAAATGTTTGTTTTGTGCTATTCCAGGGTAAGCGTGAAGTGATTAAAAAGACAACAATGTCTGTGAAATCGTCGGAACATGATGTTCTATTTGCCGAACACGAGATGCTGAAGGACAAGTATGAGACTTTGAGGACAGAGCATGAAACCTTGATGAAAACGCATATATACACTTTGAATGATCTGGCGAAGAAGCAGAGAGAGGCGTTGGTGGCTAAGGAAGATGTTGAAAAGTGGGAGAACAAGTTCGGTGAGCTGCAGACGAAGCTAGAGAAGGTCGAAAATGAGATCCAAGACTTGATGACGCTTGATGAAACCCAGATGAACGGTGTGGATTCAGTTTGTGCAGCAGTTGCAGAGAATCTTAATGTGAACAGCAACAATGTACCAAACAGTGAGTTTGATCTTTGATATGTGTCTCACCTGGTGGTGGTTTATTTAGCATTTTAGACTTACTAAACATCTTCTATGGCTAAATCTGTATGCAGATGTGATAGAGATCAGTGACGACGATGGAGGAAACCAAAGCGAAAGCGATAGAGGACACTCTAACACAGAGTATTCCTTCTATATCTGATCAAGACCTGAAACTAGTTTAGAAGATGGAGAAGCAGAGAGTCAGAAGTTGTGAAACTGAGAGTTTAGGTTGTTCTTGTTGTTTAGATATGTATGACTATGAATCTCATTTTGTCAAGACATGAAAGTTTGTATGGTAAGTGAATTTTAGCCTGAAACAATGTTGTAAGTGAAGCAGCTTCCATCATGAATCTACTTTCAGAATCTGACTATAAAGAGTTAAACAAGAGATCAGTGACAAGCTTGTTCTATGCTAATGAAAACTCAATACGAATTTAGGCTATTTCCTAGGTTACAGAGACTCAAAACAGCCAAAATATAAGATGGTACAGCTTCAAATTTAGTAACTTTGGGGCCTCAAATATTCAATACACAAAAACACCAATGTGGAAACGTGAAGTGACTCAAATTCTGATGCAGAGGCGTTACACTGAAATCAATTATGTGATTACAACTCAATCGATACACACAAAAATAGGAAGAAAGAACGTTATGAAGGTCTCTTAGTAGCCGAGCTTGCTCCCTCATTCGCATGGTCCTGACTCGGCACCACAAACTTGGTAACTTTCTGTGACATTCATAGGTCAAAACAAAACAAGAAAATGTTAGTGGAAAGTAGAAATATCTCGTTGGTTAACAATTTAAACAATATTTTGCAACGATCCATATGTTTGAAATCAGATGTAAAATTACAACCCACCAGGAAACAATGCGCATATAAGCATTCACCAAGTTCAAAAATGAAAACAAAACAAAACGAGAGTAAGGAAACAATGAGTATATAACTGAACACACATGAGACAAACTCATCTCCATAATTTCATATCGAACATAGCAATACAGATGTCTCCAGTTTCGCAGCTCCAAATTCTCCACTATAAACTTACATAATACACTAAAATAATGCAAATTTAATAAGAGAGACCAATGATCGCCAAGAGCAGCGTCAAAGAGCATAAGTGACCATAAGGATTCGAAACACTAAATCGAAATTAAAAAGCTAAACAAAAAATAAGATTCGATTAAGATGGTAATGTGAAATTTGCAAAACCACTATAAAATACGAAATTGTAAAGCTGATTCACGGGATCACTCATGAGAGCAGTAACACCAACCTTTGAGAGAACGCATTCTCTGAGAGATTGCAAAAATCGGAGGCATTTCTCTTGATCGAACGGAGACTCTGTGACGCAATTGAGAAGAAGGAGAGCCTCTTTGCCGCAAACTGGTTGGGGAGTCTGTTTCTCCATGGAAAGGAATCAAGGATAAATCCTAATCGGGGTTTTTGCCGAGAGAGAGAGAGAGAGAGAGAGAGAGAGAAGTTTCCGGTGAGACGAATCAACTTCGATCACGGGGCGGTGACTCAAAAAGTCAAAAGGAACAAAAAAATCAATAATGGGCCGCAAAAGCCCATTTGAGCTCTATGGTCGTTAATGCTTAGAGGAGACCGTTAGATAATGTCATTTGATGTGAATGGCGAGGATTATAGCTTTTTTAGTCTTCGTATAGATTAATGTATTCCAGAAAGGCCCACTAGCTAATTCAACAAAGCCCTTTTAAGCTCAGTTAAACCTTTTGTTCAAAGAGTATATTTTTAACGGCTTCAAATATGACAAAAACATACATATTCAAGCCACTTTTATTTACGTTTGAAACGAAGAATATCTTTAATTTAAAATTTGATTAAGTTGTGCTGATTGTACGATTTTATGTTACATGTTATGTCGCTTCTATAATAAGTATGGATTCAAACTATAACTGATGCATTCTTTGCAGATTGCTGCTTAAATATGTCAAGGCTCTAATATGATGCTATTTATAGTTGTGTGTGTGTGTGTGTGTGTTGTAGTAGATTTTTCTTTTCTTTCTTTTTTCCTAGTAGTAGATTGTTGTTCATTTCGATATGTACTATTTTGTCTGTTGCGTCTAGTAGACTGGTCATTAAGAGATTTTAATGAATGGCAATGTAATAATACATATATATATAAATGGAAAACAACCATCAACATCTCAAAACGTATTGTTATACTGTTATGCAATATAGTATTAGATGTTACAAAAACCTCTCGTATTAACATTAAGTTTCACTGAAACACTTGTAATAGCTAGATGATCACCGCGCCATTCTCATAGATATGAAACACACAGCCACAGGCTCAAGGATATTTGTGATACAATATTGTCTATTGAAGTCATTAATATATTCAGGAAACTAGTAACGGTATGATAACTATAGTACAAATGTTGAAGAAACTCGAATTAGATTGTTGCATTATGGTGAGGGAATTAAGAAGAGAAAGGTTAGATAACATAAACCGAAAAAGTAGTTGGAAGGTTAGTTCAGTAAATTAAAAGGGAGAAGCAGAGCAAACATGTTAAGTGCATGGGAATAGCACGAGAATGGTACGTGAAATATGAAATTAAAAGACATCATTTAATTTCTTTGTTGGTCCTTCTTTTAATGTTATTTATTAATGTGTCTCTGCCACTTTTCATGAGACACTGTCTCACTCACCTTCTATTCCACATGTCTTTTCATACTATGCATTCTAAAATGTTTACGCATCTAATTTGTACCGTTTTATATGCAAATGTAGACCGTGTATAATGTACATACATATCAGTACACACATACGTAGATGTCAAAGTTTTGATTATTTCATGCATGTCGGTGAGTCAAACCTAATTATAGAGTATATCACGGGTACGGTATTGCTGAGGTAGTGGGAAATTTTTGAAAAAAATAGTTTTAAATTTTTCTTTATGATTCTTCATTTCTTCTAGACTAGTTTTTGTATTGCTTATACAAAAGCTTGCAAGGACTAACGTATACGCAGCATGTAGGAACCGATCTTCAGTTTCATGTAGATTATAACGAGAAAACTTTATATTTTGAGCAAGAGTTATATATGTATATAGGACTAATTAACAGTATCATCCATGATCCACCCGAACTTAAGTGCTAATTTATCGTATAGATTAGATATTGGTTTCGCAAATGTAACTGTATATATATATATATATATATATATATATATATCTACTAAAAACAATATTAGTGGTATAAAAAAAAATTCATTTTACGTTGGATAAGATATAGTCACATAGTCACATGTACTGTTTAACTGATATTCTGTTAGTTCTGACAAATGAATATACATAAAATTAATCGCATGTACACCTCTTGCTAAACTCAGTTACGATCACTATCTCATGCTTTTTGGAGAGAATCCTAATTAGTGAAAATGGACATAATGGGTGATGAAAGTCAAACTAAGATACCGAAAATACGGAAAGAGACGTTCTGTATAGTGTATACGGATAAGTCAACTGAGATTTACCAGGAAGAGTTCAAAATTGAGTTGAAAGTTTGAGACAATGTTCTTTGACCAAGGCAGTCCTGGACCGGACAGATAAATGAATCATGGTTTGATCCGGTTCACAAAACACCCCCACATTTGGCAATGGTTTGGTTGTAGTTACTCTTCAGATCTAAGTATCTATTAGACACCTGGTTCAAAATAACCATTCCTCAAAGCTTATCCAAGGGCCCAGCAGGTTTCACTCCCACCAAATGGACGGTCCATATTCGCTGGACCACGGGATCCGAAGCCGTACATTGCATATCTGAGACGCGTCATCATCATAGTGGGTCCTAACATGGTCGTTAATTCCCAGTAGAGACCGTTAGATTATGTCATGACGTGAACGGCGAGGATTGCTTTTTTCATGAGGTTCTAGCTCTAGGTTTCGAATAATAACTAATAGTGGAAATAAGTTTTGACTGCAATGCATCGTAGAGATTTGTCATGATATTCTATAGTTAGTATAATTAGAAAATCACATAGAAGATCTCATGAAAGGTCCCCATTTATCTTTTGGAATAAATCTTACAAGAGCTGTGGAATTTTGTGACAAACCAAATCTCTGCATGAGGGGACACCATAAACATATATATATATATATAATGTGTGATTGTATATGCATGCATATCCTTAGCCCAAAAGACTATGACCACCATTTTCAAGCCTTACGAATTTAGGAAGGGGCACTGGAAAGTCATGTGATTTTGTTTTTTTTTTTTTTGAAATAAAGTTTAAGTCATGTGATTTTACTATTACTATTTTTGAATAACGAAATTATGAATAAATGCAACAACCTCTTAAACATGCGGCACATAATTTGAATCCAAACAAGACTACATTATATATTGCGTGATTAAACTCTTATGTATAAGCTTGATTAAATTCTTGTATAACAGTTAAGCAAACCATATATACTAATATGGTTACCTTTCTATATTAATATATGTATATAGAATGTAAATTTAAAATCAGTTGATTATGGCTTGATCACCCTTGGAATACGCATGTAGCTATGAGACTAATAAAATGTAAGTTTAAATTATACAAGAATGGAACATTGATGGGTATGCATGAAAAATCACGCAATTCACATGAACATTTTCGGAAGAGGGGTCCAGCTATTTAATACTTCATAATTTTCGTATCTACAGATTACAATAATGTGCATCTTCATTCTAAATTCTCTAGTGACCCGTACGTCTTTAAATTGTGTATGACTGTTATAAATATATTTCGCATCTACTACGATCCATAAGTTCTTCCTTTTTTCCTTATAAAGTACTCGAAAATCAGCAATTTGCATGGTTATTTCTGCGATTGTCGGGAAATATTTAATTTGTTTTGAATTTTGCTCAAATGTTTTTATGTAGAAAAGAAAATTTAAAAATAATGCCTCTGAGAAATGTAGCCTCTGAACCACTCTTACGGGCAGAAGAAAAAGGATATATAGCGAAAGCGACACGACTTTGCTCTTTCTCGAGTAGTTGCGGCTCTAGCCTACGTGTCAGTTCTTTTCCCTGCACCTCTGTATTTTCAATCTTTTTGATTGTTCATTTTGAGATCTTATTTTAAATTTGATATTTTTCAACTATATTTATATAGGTTGCTGCTTTTTTTTTCAGGTTTTATCGAAATATCGACGACCGATTAAAACATGTGGTAGACGATATTTAACTGATTTAAAATCAAGAATACAAAGTAGTTAGACAAAACATAGAAGCAAACTACTAACTCGGTCGAATAGAGGCCACAAGATGGACACGATTATTATCATCGTCTAATTACAACATTTGATTATTGCTTCGTAAAAAATTTAGGATCAATGAACTAAAATTCTCACAATGCAAACCCAATTTATGTGTACCCATTAAACTAAAATAACAACGCATTGGAAATATATATTCAAGTAGCTAAATAAAATGCAATAAAACAACAAACAAACAAGCCAAGCAGCAATGCATCAAAGAAAGTGAATCATCTCAACAAGTCTTAAAAACCAGGAGAAGCTAGATTTTGGTTCTACAAGAGCTACAATTAATGTCAACTCTTAAATAAGATGTTGGATGTGGTGGACCAAAATCATTCGAAGCAAGATGGTACAATTCTGAGATCATTGGATTGGAGAAGAGATTAAGAGAGCAACTTCGAACCAAATTTAACGTGAGAAGTCCTTAAGGTTTTATTTCATACATAAGTCTTGCGTTAGCGTTTATATTGTAGGAAATCTATAAGAATTGTGTTGATTATAAACCCTAACCAAATTGAACAACGGGTTTGTTCACAACAGTCCACATCTAAGAAACATTTATGAAAAAACTAGTAGATTATTAACCCTCGGTTAAATACTTACATATATATATATATATATATATATATTCATTCTATTTGTATTTAAAACAACTGTTTCAATACAGTTTGGTTTTAGTAAAGTTTATATTTGATCTTTGCGTGCATAACAATACAATCGTACGTTAATAAAACTGTTAAGAGTGTGGATTGATAGACAATCAACTGCCCCAACTGCTTTTTTGCTCATTTAAACCTCATGAGATTTTTAGATTTTGATTTTTCTTGTGAATAAACTGCCAAAATATATATAGCTTCCTTCTCTCTGATGTGCCACATTTCAAATCAACTTTTAGATTCTCTCTTCCCTCGTATCTAGTCTCAGTCTACCTGCCATATCACACTGTTTTGACTAGAGGAAAACTCTAGTTTAGCTTGTACGTGTAGAATTACTAATAATCATTAGCCTTTATGTTTGTTTTTTAAATTGATGCTTAGCTTTATAAATTAAACTAAGAAACAAAAGTTTAACAAAGCTTTTCAATTGTTCCCATCACGTGAGATTCACACGTGCCTCACCAACAACAACAACAAAAAGCGAATTTTAAATATCAAATAAAGCTAAAATGAAGGAATTTTTTTAATTTTTTTCAATCGCGAAAAAATAAAAAGGGATAAAGATAACCAGAGCACGTGGCGCAAAGAAACTCGGCATCCATACCGTTAACAGACAGAGATTTTTAACTTAAAAAGTTAATAATTAATTAATAACACCATTAGACTACATTAATACAATTTGATTTATGGTTTATATATGACCAAGAAAAGATTAAAAAAAAAACGAACATCACGGAGATATCTCACCGGTACAAAACTTCGCCGGGATCCGTTTAGTAACGGCCGGTAAACTATTATTTTAAAAATATATTAAACAGCTAAAAGAGGATCCGACCCGAATAGATCCTCAATATCTTGAAAATGGTCCTCCACGTGCCAGTTGGATAATCCGGATCCGAAATTGAATCCGAAGTTCAAATCCGTACACGTATCCGCAAAGAGATCTTCTCCAAATAAGTCGCCGCCTAGATAGTCGGGAACCACCGAGCTCCGGAAATCGAACAAATCATCGTCTATGAACAACGGCGCCGAGAAATCAGAGAAAGTTTCCGATACCGTCGTTATCTCCGTCGTCGAGGGCTCTTCCTTGACGACAACAGCCGCGGATGACGGCGAACTGCCAGAGAATTCGTCGACGGCGAACGGAGATCGGAGAACAGACACCGGAGAGCAGAGGCAGTCGCTGCTGGTTCCGCTCATCGAGGAAGAAGCGACGTCGTCTTTGATTTTGCTTTTCTTATTAGTATCCGGCGACGGTGGAGGCGAGCTTTCCTCCGTCGTTTTAGGAACGGAGAAATTAGTGAGCGCGTCGGGACCACGAAGCTGAATCGCGGCGTTGTCGTAAACCATGGCGGCTTCCTCCGCCGTGTTATAAGTTCCAAGCCAGAGCCGCACACGTCTAAGAGGATCTCTAATCTCCGCCGCCCATTTTCCCCATGGACGCTGTCTTACTCCCCGGAATTTCCTTTCCGTCGTCGCTGCGACAACCGGAGAAGCAGTAGCAGCAGCTTCAGATTTCACGGCAGCAGCTCTCTTCCGTCTCTTCTTCGATTCCATTTGACTACAACCAGAATCAAGAACCACTTCGTTGACGAACTTCTTGACACGGCGGCGTTTGGTGGCGAAACGTTGGAGTTCTTCTACTTTGTCTTCGTCGTCGCTGGAGGAATCTGTCGCGTCTGGGTCGGTGACGGAGATACGGAGAATCCTTGGTTGTTGGTGGTGGTGGTTGTTGAAATCGGGGACGATTCTCTTGGTGTTGGTTTTGTGCTCTGTGAATTTGATTATCGGTTTCTTCTCTGTTTCCATTTTCTTATCTCTTGCTCTGTTACTAAGACTGTGACTGTGTTTATATCAGAGAGATTGGGAAAGCATTTGAAAGCAAAAAAGAGAAAAGGAAAGAGACAAAGAATAAAGATGGATTTTTTTTTTATATAAAGAAGAAACTTGAACAACAAGAGAAAAAAGAGTGATGCTCCTCTGCAAAAAGTTTTATCAAAGGGCGAGAAATTTTTTTTATGGAAAGCTACAAAGAAAAGGCACAGAAAACTGCGAGAGAGAGAAACCTTGCGGATACAAGCAGAGGAGAGTAAGGAGAGGGGAGAAGAAAAGAAGATTTTCCCGGAAAGTTGAAGAAAGGAGAGAAAAAAATAAAAATAAAGAGCTTTTTGTGATATTCTTATGGAATCAACACAAATCCAACCCACCGTCTGGTTATCGAGAGAAATAAAGAGGAAGATGCTCCTTTTTGGACAGAAGGCTTTAAGCTTGGTTTTTCTAGGAAATATTCCTGGAAATTTTTTGGGTGCAGAGAAAAGGAAATGTTTTTGCAGAGTGTGAGAAAGAGTGACACGAGGAAGAAGAAGAGAGATTTAAAAGCGGCAGAGCACATGTAAGTAGAGAGAGAGAATGAGACTATTTTATAGGATCTTGAAACGGCTGATATAGTGTTTACTCCGGGTCTTTTTTGGATTATCATCGTTAAAAAAGTTTTCTCTAATTAATCGCACAAAGATTTTTATTCTTTTATTGATTTATTTATATATATAGACATACATATTTGTATGTTACCTCTTTATTTCTTTGTTTAACACTTCAATGGATCTTAGCTCTTCTTTGGGTTTTAATGTAGTGTAAAAAGAAAGACTTAATTTATATTGTCAAAATGACAATCGTCAAAAGACTCAAAACTATGCTTGTTAAAAACAAAAACGTACATTTAATATAAATTGATACAGAGAAGAAAACATAATCGACAAGTGTCAAACTGTATTAATTAACACTTTGTAACGCAAATAACAATTATGATGTTTTAAAATGTAGGAGGGGAAAAACCAATATCTTCATTTGGTAGATTTTCTCCTAAACTAATTTGGCAAAATTGTCGCCGGAGAAAAAGAGCTCGACCACACCAGAATGCCGCATAAGTCAAATGAGTGAGATATTGACACGTGTTGTTACAAAATTGGGTCCAATCCAACGGCTGGGACGTGCCTTTCCGTGGCAGCTGACAAAGAGAAAAAAACATGTATTATCTTAATTAAGACTAATTTTTAAAAGATTGTTCTCGTAATTGGAGATTCAGGTCACGTGACACCGGGGACACGGTCGAGTCCTGCTTTTGACCAGACTAATTAACAATAATTAACGGCAGGTGATTAAGTCTTTAATCTAAAACCTCCGTACGAAGCTCTCTTCCCTTATTTACCACAGGGTGTTTTGGTAACTTTAACGAAGCAAGTTGCTAGTAAAAATCAAAAGACCGTTACGGCTCGTAGTTCTTTACTGTTTTAACCTTTACCGGTCTCTGTTATTACAGCTGGCATCTAACGTGGCAGACAACAACCTAGGACGTTGCGCCAAATATAATGCACAGTAATTTTTGGAATCATTGTATTTCTTAATTATGATTAACACTCAATAATTTTCCACTTTCCTGTAAAATTTTGGGAGAGTATAACAAAATCCCTTTAATTCACTGGCATAATTTTAAAGACGAGAGAATATTTGGCACTTGATAGGGAGATTAAGTAGAGAATATGAAAGCTATTTAATTACTTTCTACAGTTAACAAAAAAAAAGACGAAACACTTCGACCAAATGGCCAACCAGACCCTATATATTTGGTTTTTACGAGCGATTAAATGTATCTAAAAAAACCTTTAGACAGTTCAAAGTTTTTATGGGGTTCAATAATTTTACATGGAAACTTATTAATTCAAGTAATAGTTAAAAGTTTTTTTAATTACTATGTGTTTGTAGTGATAAGTCCTACAAATTACGAAGCTAAACAGATTTATATATTTATTAATTTTTGGTTATCGTATACTGCTACTTATAGTAGAATAGAGAAAGTGAAAGATATAACTTTTTGAGTGTATTGTTATAATACGTATTGATAAAATAATAAAAATGTATGAAAGATATTGGAAGCCCATGCAGTATTGCCAAAGAAAGCAGCAATATCATTGCAGGGTATGTGAAGCATGAACTCGTTTCTTGGTCTTGTCTTTCCTTTCATTTTTTTATGTCCCTCTTCTCTTCTATACATTTTTAGTCCAACCTTCTGTGCTACACATCACATATATATATAGATATACAATTTAAATTTTCATTTTTTTGACATTATATTGAGTTTAAACTCAAGTAACGATACAATAACAACACTAATACACAGATATAAACCAATAGATTACAATTCTTGCTTAGTCTTATCTAGTATTAATAATATCATATGGAAAAGAAAAAAAAGTATACTATCCATTGAAATCCCTTTTGTAAAAAAAAAAAAAAAAGAATTATATTATCCGTGTACTATTAACTTTTTTCCCAAATTAGCTCAACATAGCATAGCATATTTGTATATGAAGTATACGTACATACACAAAAATTTACTTAACCTTTTTGTTTCGCTATTTGAACTATTGTATGTGATCTCTCTAAGAAGTAAGCTAGAGTTTAAACATTATTTCATATAATGTGAACAAATATATTGCTGTAACAAATGTAGGTATAAAATTTCTCAAAGACAATAAATTATACTCCAATGAGTAGAAAACCCCTACCCCTAGATGAGAAAATTCACTTTGATCCGTGTAATTATTGAGAAATCCCTTTTTAATTACTCCTAGTAATAGGAATAAGACAACCAGTTCCCATTCCTCAACAAATCAAATTTCGTTTCTGGAAATGAATTAATATAATAACATGCAGTAAATATATTAAGATAAAAGGTAAATGCGTTGATCCACTAAGTAGTAATCATTACACAATGATATGTTCTTGTGACAACGATAAGTTCTTAGAAATTCGATCTCACAATGTACAAATTACAATGTGCACAATTTTACGTGATAATCGAAAGTATATACTATTATTTCTTTTACTGGACAGGAAAACAGCGGTAAATCACTTTGGATTTAACATTCTTTCTATCTAATATTCGATCATTTTAACAAACAAAAACAAATACTATATTTTCTAGTTGGAAACTTGGTTGGAATCAACTCAGAACGGTGAACAAGATTGAACAATAACCAGATCATCTATTTTTGCAAAGCATAACCAGATAACGTAAGTGGTTCGTTATGATTCTAACACATTGATATAATATTTTGTTGTTACAAAAATTAAAATAATCGTGTTCTGTATTCACGGATCAATAAAGTGATATATACTTGCTTGCTTTTGTAGTAGAAGTAAGTAAAAAGCTTGTACACATATACTGATGATGTTGTCGAGCTGAATAAATGGTTATGGCCTTAAGCTAAGAGGTGCCGAATAGAAGAAGGAAAGTTTGAACTTGAAAACAAGAAAACGAGACCGTACGGATATTTTGTCCAAGAATACAAGAGCACTCGTTGGACCGACGATGGTACACTCAGGCCCATTGTAGGGCCCGTCGTGGGACCCATCTCTCTGTCTCTCCGTTACTCCGCTAACGGTGCCGTTCTCCCTTTTCGAGGCCTTCCTTCTATTCGGTCCACTTGGTCACTTCTTCCCGTCATGTGACGGCTGACGTCCTCTTCTCAGTTTTTATTTTTATTTTTTTTTGCTTTGAAGGTTATTTATCGAAGATTTGTTAAAACCTATAAACTTTGACAGAAGAAAAATAGGGACAACCTAAAACTTTTTCTTTTTAAACATGTCGTAGCAGTTTCGAACAAAAATAGTTTACGGTTCAAAAATAGGAAATTAAAGTTTTATTTGTGGAAGAAAACACATACATTGTTGACCGGAGTATTAAGTAATACTATGATTTGTCTTTGACCAGCAAAATAGGAGAATCTTAGAGGTCTGGAGTTCGAACCTTAGGTTTCATCTTTTTGGTTTATAAAGATGATGGACTTTAAGCCTTTTGTCAAAAAAAAAAAAATGACTTTGGCTCAAAATTTTTAAGTAAGCAATAAATAAATAAATGGTGCTGTTTCAGTGACACTAGTCTGGTGGTTTGTGAACTGTGGTAAATTTGAATTACAGTATTTATAGTCCTCGATAATTTGAAATGATACTCTCTATTTGAAGCACAGTTCAACTTCCTAGGGTATTTTTTCTATAACAGTCTTAACGTTTATTTTAACCTCTATTAAAATCCAGTGGCAGAACAAAAAATAGATTAACCATAATTTGATTATAACAGAAAACAAAATTAAAAGATGACCAAATAATTCGGCAGTACCAAAAATTGAAAAGAATATAAAGGTTTCAATAATGACCTGATTATCCTGCTTGAATGTACGTTATGTACCTCTGGAAAGTGTTAACATTAATTTAACTTAGAATTATTCGATAGAAGGAGTTTATAAGATAATATAATCATATGCTTTTTTGTGGTTTAGTGTAGTTAGCTAGGTTATGGCAAACTAAATAATGAGTTAGGTTAATTTCCACTTTTGTTTTATAAAACGTATATAACGTTGCTCCAGATAATTAAAGTGAACTATCAATATATAGTTAATGTAGGTGTGTCGATGATATCAGTAAAGTGAAATCATATATACCCAATAACGGAAAGATTGCACACTTATATCATGTATTATCATTTTTATATTACCATCAATTGCAAATACTCTTTATATTATACAACAACCACATACAGCTTTCAAATAAATGATAAAATGACCTGTTAATTACTTAATTTTGTGATATTTAGACTGGTACTGTTTCATGTCTAAACATCTGCAGATCCATAACTAAAACTTAAGAACTTTGATGAATCTAATGATAGTTATCAGTGTTAGTGATGGGTTTAGCACCTTTTGCTAAAAGCCCTTCATAAATTGAGACAAGGCCCATTTGAAGTCTTACCTCCGCTTCCGAGTTTAGGTCGGCGCCCAAATATAGAAATACTCGAAGATATATTGGTATCACGGAAGAAATGGAAAGAAGATCCCGAAAAGAAAGGAAATTATCCTAATCCCGAAGGAGAAGGGTTATTTCCGAGGCGGTCTACAGAAGTTATATAAGAAGAGTCCCCTCCCTCGAAGATCGGGATTTTCACAACTTTGGACTTGAGATCTAGGACAAATAATAAGCTTTCTGCTTTCAGCTTTAGATCTCGGTTTTTTTATAAAACTTAGGTCGGTGTTCTATTCCAACAACCGAAACCCTTATACGCTTTGAGCTCCGGCTAACAATAAAAGAGCTTTATCTTTTTCCCACAAATCTTTGTATTTTCTTTAGAGGAGATATTCGGATCTTACAATCAACATTTCATTATAAATTAAGATCCAACGGCTTGACTCATTGGTTAGTTGGTATTGGGAAAGTGCGACCAGACAATACTAGTGTAGTAGTCTCTAAGCAAAAGGAGTTTAACTTAAACACGTACGAGAGAGGTATGACCATGATTAGGGGAATGATTGAAAAGTGTTAGAATATTTCAAGATAATGGAGTAATATTTTCAAGCTAGGTTATTGCTCCCTCCAAATATATTGAAACACCTATAATTTATATGTGAGGACGCAACAATGTTACACTTAGTTTACGAATCGTGTTTTAGTTTACGACGGTATTTTCTCATTATTCAATACTTTAGGCTTTAGCTGGGTAACCAAGGAATACAAATATTAAATTCGAAATCTGACAGTGCTAGTGCAGATATGAAATTAATATTCAGGATGCTAAGAATTCATTTAACATATAATAATTGTGCAATGAATACTTACATAAAAGTTTATATTGATTTTTTTTGTTCGGGTCGAAATTTTAGATGTTCAATCATCGAGATTGCATGCGCTACACAATAATTAACATAGTACCGAGAGGGTTTATTCTGTGAATAATTTTCAAAATGTTTATGTAAATTTTAATATTTGTAATAAAAAGACATTACAAAAAAATAACTAATTAGGGAACCCTTAATTACTCCAAGGAGGCAACGATGGTGTGTCATATAATATACTTAGTCCTTATTCTGATTTATAATCAAAATTTGAAACCTTATTAATTAGAAATGAGTTATATATATGACGCATGTGGATTGCAAATATTGAAAGTGGAGTGGAGGTGGGGTGGGCGGTGAGCTAGCAAGTGATTGCCACACTTTGTCATATAGTGAAGACAAATCTCAATAAATATTACTATCTTTAGTTAATAAGGTACATATTAAATATCTAATTAGGGAACCCTTAAATTATGGAGGGACGAACTCTTTCCAACACTATCTCACGACCTTGTTGCCGGCCAATAATATATGTACATTGAATCCTTTTCTTATATGTTTAATACTTTCCTGTTGGGTTTACAAGTGCAGTACATTATATAAATGACATTAGCTATATAATTTTATTAGGTTAAATAATGTTTTAAAACCGTACTTGTCGCGGAAGTGTTGATCACAATCAACTGATCAAGATTTTTATATAATAAGAGAACCAGTTCACTAGCACACTGCTGTGTGTAGACATGGGTCGTAATGGCTCACATAAATTATTAATTTTATGTCATTGTTTTTATTTTGAGGATTTTTTTATTTTTACAAACTTCACATATTCCCATGAAATAATTATTTTCTATGCCGAGTTTGAACCGTTAAGGTTCGGGTTCCATATATTGGTTGTATGATTAATATTCCATTAATCAATGACTCATAACATGGTTGTATGAATATATGTTTCATTACATAGCATTTTCTGAGATGAGCTTTTTCATAAAAATGTGATATAAGTATATTACTAATTCTATTTATTTCGAATTATAGTTCGAATTGCCAAAAGCCATATTAAAAATCTTTTTTGTTTATTTGATATCTTCGCAAAGGAAAATTGAAGGAGCTAAATAAAGTTAAGTGAGGGGGTACAAAGTATAGTTCATTAGTCTGACTCCGTATTTTAAGGGACTACAGTAAGCTAACTATGAATTTAAGCTGGCTACTACATTAGAAGATAAAAAGAAAATCAGAAAACTTTTTGGAGTTAGAAAACTCATAGCATAGGTATGATAGGGTAAAAAGCTTTTCAGTTTTACCAGAAAATCTGGAACCATTGGTCTATAATCGTTGTTTTTGAACACGCATGAAACTGACGTCTTACAATCACTATTTTGATAATTACATATCAACAAAGGAAATTGTTTATTTCTTACGGAAATTTTTAATTTAATTAACTCCGTTAGTGTAACTTGTCGACAAAACACCTAAAAGAGGTTTGACTCTGACTTGAGTAAAGGCAAAGAGGAACACAAGGAGCAAGTGGATGTTGACTGTTATGTCTATTCTCATGTTATTTTAAAAAATGAAGGTTTTTTTTCTTTTATTTTTGTTAACAAAACGAAAATATGTTTTCTTCATCGTTCATATTAGCTTCTATATGCACACAACTTATATAATATGATGCTCTTATATCAGTAGCTAGTAGGAATTTTAATAATTACTGCAAGAGTACTAGTGTTGTACTACTATTCGAACTGCTCTGCTCGTTCTAGAATAATGATTCGAGTTTAATTATAATCGTATGTAAAATGAACAAAATTTATTATTTTTGTGTTATGTGTAGGAAAATTAAACGAATTTAAGAACAACAAAAAACAACAAATATGTAGTTTAAGTAATGTGTTGAAAAACAATAGATGAAATAAATAAATTAATAAGTACTTAGTAAATTCACAAGGTTCATAAATATGTAGAAAAAAATAATTTTAACCATCATAAAACATATCAATTTGTATACAATCTAAGCTCATGCTCTAGTAGTTTTCACGTATGTCATGTCACATATACTAACATTTGGATTTGCCATATGAATATATATTGAATGCTACACTGGTAAACACGAGTTACTTGTTCGTTCAGATCTATAGCATTCCTCGAATGTTAAATTAATTCAGTGAGATTAGATACTAAGTGTTCCTATTAACTTCACCATTGTCCAAACAAGGCGACATTTTAACAGCGGAGACGTAAACAAAAAACATGTTGACCCAACGATTTCGTGGGGACCTAAGGATTTACCAAAAATTGACATATTTATGTATTTGAGGCTCAATTTCTTTTTTTTTTCATTTAGGTTACTAATCTCGCAAGTTGGAAAGAAGAAGAAGAAGAAGCCCCTATAGCGGTATATGAGAAAGACAAGTCATTTTCTGGAATTAGACAAATCATATTCACGTTGTAACTTGCCTTATTTGTCTCCTTCCTATTGTAATCTCTGCCACCTACCTGTTCCTCCTCCAAACACACAATCACGACAAATCATTGTATCAATTTTCCCTGACTCATAAATTATAATTTCAGTAATAAAGTACGACTTACTATATCGAGATACAAATAATAATTTGTTGCTGGAGTTTTTGTTTTCGATATAATTACCCTTTCAAATGACCCTAACGATCTTCACTCGAAGCTCATAACTATATGGCCCAATGGGCTTTATATAGGGCTCTGAAGCATGGGGCTTCTCATTTAGCTTTGACGATGCTGAATCAAACGCGATGATCCATGAGCATTCTGATGTTGTGCGTGTACTGGTTGGTTTCTCTCTGGTTACACTTAGAAATCGAGAGAAACGAACCCAAACACGAAGAGAACCAGAGAAGAAGGGAACACAGAGAGAGAGTCATATTCAATTTCAATGGCAGCTTCTGGAGATATGTTGAAGCCGAGGACGACGAGAGGATCCAACGATGAAGAAGAGAAGACCTTTGTGGCGTTGCAGATTGCGAAGGAGTGGACGAATTGGTCGTTGAAGAAGGCGAAAGTCGTTGCTCACTATGGCTTCATCCCTCTCATCGTCTTCGTCGGTGTATGAACTCAGATCCTAAGCCCAGTCTCTTCCAGCTTCTTGGCCCCGTCTAATCCCATCTCCTTCCTTTTTTTTTTCCCCTCTGATCTAATTCGAATTCGAGATGTTTCTTCTTAATCTATATTCATCTGTACGCAATAACCACGGTACTGTTTGAATTCGAGATGTTTCTTCTGAATCGCGTGTCATTCAAATCTATTTCATGCTGAATTTTGAAAATCAGGAATCCCTAAACAGAAATTGTGTTCTAATCGACAGAGACAGAGTTGAGTATACAAGCTTGATATAATAAATAATGAACAGTTTTTTCAATTTTTCATTAAAAATCTTAGATTTCACTCGGCGTGGAAGTCTCGGAGGCTCCATTTTCGGATTTGGGTTTCGGCTCAGGGATGATGGCTCTTCGGTTTCCGACGTTCTCCATGAGCCTAACCAAATCAGACATCTTGGGCCTCTGGTCCGCTACTTTCACGACACATGACATTGCAATCTGCAACATCTCGACCATCTCTTCCTCTATGTTTGTGTACCTCAGAAGCTCCATGTCGAAAACCTCTGCAGTCCATTCCTCTCTCACTACCGAATGCACCCATCGAACCAAGTGGATGATCTCGTCTCCTAAATACCGAACCAAACAAAACCATTAAACCGGATATAAAACCGTTAAAAATTCACTGGTCTTTTCGTAACTTGCAACTATACCTGCTGTGGTGTGAATGGGTGATTTTCCGGTGAGTAGTTCGAGCAGTACGACGCCGAAGCTATAAACATCTGACAACTGAGAAGACTTCCTTGTGTCGGATACTTCCGGCGCACGGTAACCAGCTTGTCTCGAGATCGGTGGAGCTAAGGGACTCATGACTGCGGTTAAACCGAGATCAGATACGCATCCGTAACGCTCTGAGTTCAAGAATATATTAGAAGATTTGATGTTCCCATGGACGAGTTTTCCATTGTTCTCTTTGTGGATTCGGGCGATGCCTTTAGCTGCGCCAATGGCTATGCTCATTCTGGTTTCCCAGTCCAAGGGAACCCGGTTTTCTCCTCTGTTACCTGCACATGATCCAATAGCAAACCCCATCAAAACACTATGCTAAACCGGAAAACCAAAAGACACTATGACGCATTGGATCAGAAAGGGAAACGTAGTAACGTACCATGAAGCAAAGAAGCGACACTTCCATGGCTGAAATAGTCATAAACCATAAGCTTCTCGTCTTTGGAGTAATAGTAAGCCTTAAGCTCCACGACGTTCTCGTGCTTAATACCTCCAATGATCTCCATCTGCTGCTCGAAATCGCGTTTCCCAGCCGCAACGTCTTTCAGCCGTTTCACAGCGACAGAAGTCGCATCCTCGAGAACCGCTTTGTACGTCGTGCCGAACGTGCCTTTACCAAGAACCTCAGCGGAAGCTCTCAAGAGATCCTCGAGATCAAACGAGTAATTGCATCCTTCAAAGAAAGACAACCTGTTGTTGGCGTCTTCCATCCTCGAAACGAATTTCTCCGGAGACATCCCGCCTTTCTTCTGCAGCTTATTGTCAGAGATAATCCCATCACCGCTTCTTAACTCCCTTCTCAGGTAACAAACAGCCAACACAAACGCTAAAGCCGCGACAACTGCGATGCAGACCGCGATCACGATCAGCAAAAACACCGTCTTGGTTAGTCCCAAGTAATGAGCTTTCGGTTTCTGACGAGTCACGTCGCCAGGTGGCTGAAAGAGAGACTGGTCACCAGGAGGAAAAACACCAATGCCTTCGTAAGACGAAGATGGGAACTTTTGAAGCCAAGTCGGTATTGGTCCGTTGAGATCGTTGTGGGACAAGTCAATGTGCTGCAGAGATGAGAGTACACTCAGATCCGGAATGTTCCCGGAAAGCGAGTTGTTCGCGAGATTCAGCGACTGAATACGATCAAGACGGGACAAAGAATCAGGGATGGTTCCATCGAATCTGTTGTTTGAGAGATTCACGCTGGTGAGATTCTTCCAAACAGAGAAATCCATAGGCAGAGGACCCGTGAAGGCATTGTACTGGAGGTAAAGAAAGGCCAAGTCTTTCAGCTCGACGAAGTCCGCCGGAAACTGACCGGAGATTCGGTTGGATCTGAGGCTGAGTACCCTGAGAGCAGAGAGCCTGCTTATGGTGTTTGGAGGGATCTGACCGTTGAGTCCAACGCCTGGCAATCTAACGGCTAAGACTCGAGATTCGTCTTGACTGCAAGTAACTCCGGTCCAGGTTTTGCAGACGGAGGAGCTCTCGTTCCAGTTCAGTGAACGAGTCGGACGCATGATGCTTAGAAACTCGAGCAATGCGCGTTTGTCTTGTACTGGATCTGCGTTTCCTCCGTGGAGAATCAAACACAGAGAGAGAATCCATAGAGAAATCTTCCAAGCTTCCATTGGTAATAACTAAAACGAGCTGTTTTTTTTTTTTGTTTCTCTCTTTGGTTTTTGGTCTGGAGCTGAAGAGAAAAAATCAGAAACCAATTAGCTGAATTTGACAAGATGATGATGAGACTATAAATGGAGAAACTTTTGATCCCAACTTTAATTTAAAATTACAATAAAGTACAAAAAGCAAAAATCAGATTTATAGAAGACTGCGGAGAAAAAAGTGAAAGGAAGTTTTTAAAAAATCCAGAAAACTGAACAAGAGTGGGAGACAGAGATAGAGAGAGACCGTAGCTTCGAAAATGACGAAATGAAAGTCCTTTTTTTTTTTTTCTGTACATTCGAGCTTTAATTTAAACTCTCCGATTCAAAACCCTAGAATTTTTCTGGAAATTAAAAGTGACAAAAAGTGGAACCCTAACTCTATTAAGCGATTAAATTATTAAAAAAAGAAATATGGTACCTCACTTTTCCAGATCTGAACTTTAGAACTCTTTTTTCTTTGTTGTTGTTATTTTCTAGTCTCGCGCGCCGTTTCGTCTCGAGAATTGATCAAGTCTGCATCTTGAAGAACACGAAAGCATTTTTCAATTAAATCAAACTTAAATCAATCAGAAATTAGGATACATACAAACTCAGAACTTGAAATTATTATATATGAGAAGAAGAATCCAGAATTTTTGAAAAATTACAGAAATTAGTCAAAACTAGAAATCCAGATATTTGGGGGTCGAGGAAAAGAGACGAACTTATATAAATTACGCAGTGACGATAATGTGAAGAACCGGCTTAAGAACCACCATTGAAGCACTGAAGTTAAGAGCTGCTGAATTTTTTTTAATTCCAGCAACGGATATAATTTGTTATTCCTCTTATTATTTTTTTTTCTTGGCATTAAAGGAGTGAAAGTGACGAGGGAAGATACTGATGCGACTTCTTTTTATTCGGTTACAGGCGGGTGACCGGTGAGTCTGTGAAAGCCGTACGTGCCGGTTATTAAATACCGAACCGGGGACCATTGCTTTGATGTAACTGGAAATTTTTTATTATGCCAGCCAGCCATATAATATGGTTATTATAACACTTTGATTATTTGAAACGGTATTCGTTTTCACAAATCTTCTATTTGTAAAACAATGTTGTCAAGCCGGTTTAGTTTTATGAACCGATATATAACTGATGAGATTAATGGGTCAATTACTTACCATAAGAAGAGAGAATAATTAAATGATGTTAATTGACCAAAGAAAAACAGATTTAATTTGCCAAAATACATTTATCTCAAACAAATATACGTTTTGTTTGAATTTACTATTTTTACTTGTTATAATGAAGCTCCAAGCCATCAATGCATATCGATTTCTACCATTTTAATATATTTTTATTTGTTCTTTTTGGCATCATTTTCCCTTTAAAATATTACTACTTTCCTTCCGGTGTATTAAATATGCGACCGACCCAATTATAGAATTTATGGTGCACCATAATAAACCAATAATTTCAAATCTTTCATGATTATTGTGATGATTTTATACCATTTTAGCCCGGTTGATTCCTTTTTCCTTTTTCTCCCACATTGAGAGGCAATCAAAGAAATAAGGCACTGAAGCCTTTAAATCTAAAAAGAAAAATTCATTTTTTTGTTTTATCATTCAAAGAATTGCTAATCAAGAGAAGGAGAAAGCTTAACTGAATAACGAAGATTTCACCCAAATAAAATAATACAAACTCAATTCATCATATAAATGTAACAATATCTTCATACACAAGTTAAATCTCGCACAAAACCAGGATCTTGTCACTTCCAAAAAACGGGTGACGTTTTCAAATCTCAGGTTTTCCTTTTTAATTCATACCCAAGAATCACACACAATTGTGATGTTCTATAGAGACTATACAGCAAAAAAAAAATAAACCCCCAAAATATAATAAGAGAAACAGAGAAGAATCAATCGGTTTGAGATAACCAGTACCGATTTTTAAGTGGAAAGGACAAGCGAGAGATTTAATTTCCCGGTCCATTCTTCACCCGGTTTCAATGTGATGGGTTTCTCAATGGCTGCTCCATCAACACACAGCATCTGTTTGTACTCTTCATCTCCCAAATCAGTCAGTGCTCTAGCTTTCTTATCCCATGGATTCCATACCACTGCAACAAATTCGAGGATCTGAATCTGTTAAAACAGGATTCCGGTTAAAGGAACGGTCAAGGTTTTTCATTGTTTTGGATCTTACCGACATCTGGTAGACCTTCTTTCTTGATGAGGAAGGTTCGTTTTCTCTCATGGTCGAAAACAGCAACCACATCTTTAGAGTTTAAGTACACTCTATCGATCTCAGATTCAAAGGTTAATGCATCGCCTTGCTCTGTAAACCGTTCTTTATCGTGCAAGTTATCAAGATAGTCAAGAGTTTCAAGTCCTTCAACTCTAACTTCACTGATAAAAAAAAACCAAAAAAAAGGAAAGAAAGCATTGAGTTTTATTGTGTGATCGTAGAGAGACCAGAGAAGCGTAGAACTCGGTGTTTCACCTGATATCGGAAATGGAGAAGTAAGTGTGGTAAGCAATGGAGAAGTTGAAAGGCTTTGAATTGATGTTTCTGACTCGAGATATCATCGTTAGGTTCCCATCTAATGCCAATGAAACTCTCAGGTGAAACTCAAAGCTGAAACAAGAGCAATAGCGACTAAGCAAACTGAAACGAGAAGAAGAATGTATCGTTGATCACAGTAAGAATCTTTGATCGGGTTTGTTGTAACCTGTGAGGCCAGATTCTTGTGTCTTCATCAGAGGGCTTAAGTACCAAGTCGACATAGGCTTTGCCGGTTGAGTCGAATGAAGGTAAAGCAGGTGGGTCCTTTTCCACAAGCCACATCTTGTTTCTTGCAAACCCATGTTGCTCAAGTGATCCTCGAGTTCCAAACTTTTTTTTGACAAAACGAAATATTTTTGTAAGGAAAGTGATCGAAACGTAGATAACACATGTCCAAGATTATCTGAGGAAGCTCTGCCTCTGTTACAACGTACCTGAGGAAAGCATATTGGGATTCCTCCTCGTACCGGATGGGGAGGCTTTGAGTTGGCCTGAAACAAGATCATCAAGTTACACCAAATTTTATATAAAAAAAACCCAAAGTTGCTCAAATGTTGGAAAAGCAAAAAAAATTCAACCTTTGCGCTTGTGAATAACAATTCATCACCCTTCTCAGTCTTCCAAGAAAGAACTTGTCCTCCATGTAAACTAATCTGAACAAAGCACCATCCCAAAAAAAAAAAAACTTCAGCCCAATAAACAAAATGAAAATGTATATGGATGTTGTTCATATTGCCCCTGATGCAGGACATAATATCACAAAAGCCATAGTTTCCATTGTGCTTGTCATGAGAGTTTGAAGCTAATACAGCCATAAACTACAAAAGCTTCTTTCAAGAATCAAAACCCAAATCCCCAAATAGAAACAGAACAGCCTAACACGCTTATAACTCTCTGGTCCTAAGAATCCACAATCACAGGTCCCATGGAAAAATCAAAACTTTGGACCAATTCAAATGTGTAAAAGACTGGTTTCAATCGGATACATCGTCGCAATCAATAGAAACCCAAGTTCCAAATCTTTTAATCCGAATAATAAACTTGATAAAAAAAAAAAGAGTTTGGCAGAGGAAAACCATTGAACAGTTGGTGGGCAATCTTCTAAAGTCAAACATCTTATCCTCTAATATTCCAGAATCCGAGAATCAAAATTCCGAATCTTGCATCGAAGAAATCACCATGCGTTATGTAAACATCGGAGAAACAAAAGGAAGAGTCACCTTTACAGAAGCGCCTTTAGGACTCTGGAGAAGAATCTGATCGGTTCCATTTTTATCCTTGACAAAGTCAACGATGGGTCTCTTCTCAGCTCCGACTCCAGATGGTTCCATCGTAGATTAGGCAACAAAGATTTCAACGAAAACGAAATCCAGAAGCAAAAAAAAAGAGAGACTTTTAATTGTTTAGTCTTTTTCCCTTTGCTTTCTCGCGTTTTTAAATCACAAGAAAATGAATTAGGCGAAGAAATCACAAGGAGAAGCCTTTCTTGTGGATCAACAAGAAACCCTAAGTTTTCTCGTGGGATTGAAACCAAAAACCCAACCACCACTTCAACTGCTTAGTCCTTTTCTTACACCGATAAAGCTGCAACACACACTTACGAAAACAAAACCAAAAAATATAATGTGTAAACCCAAAAAAAAAAAAAAAAAAAGAGGATAAAGGGAAATCGCGATTAAGACAGACGTGAGGTTGAGATTGAAAACGGAAGATCTTGGAAAATTTTAAAAAATCACAAGAAAGTCCAAATATTAAAACACACGATTTCCCGGGAATTTTTTTTCTTTTTTAATCCTTTGAACTGTAGGATTCGAAGGAACTTAACAGATGCCCAGACAAAATTACGTATCGAAATGAAGAACCCAGAAGGCAAAAGCACAACTTTTAAGACCCGAAGGAATAATCTGAAGTATACAGATGAGAAAACATAAGAAAGAGATATTTAAAGACAGAGAAGTCAGAAAAAATGGGCAATATGTAGTAGAAAAGGTGCAAACACATTCAAAAAGCACTGCAAATGATATTTTAAAATGTATATATTATATATATATTGTTAAAGAATGTGTAATATATATATATTTGGTTGAAAGATTCATCAATCATGGATAATTCTTCACTTCGTCATCTATCAAGTAGAACATGATTAATGTTTTCCGTATAAGTAAAGATGATTAATGTAACAAAAATATTGTTATGCGCAATTCTACTACTATCGATCTTGTATATGTGTTATTTTTTGTCATTTGACGAAATTTCCTTATAACAATAGTTACTTAGTGCAATGTCACAATGTGTATAGTATTTTCGTAATTAGAAAAATACTTTCTGAATTTCAATTAGGTAGCTTGAACACCAAAATTCTACGACGTCACTGAAGTGTCACATGTAAAACTTGCGTTTCAAACAATCAAACCTTAAATAATATCGACTTTCTTTATTAATTGATTATATAATTCACTAGTCTCTTTTTGTGTTCAACAGTGACAAACAATTCGTCATTAGTGTTAAAACAGATTTTTGGTAGTTAAGTTTTCTGTTCAATCTGATTGGTCGAGTTAATAAATTGAAAAATAATATCCAGTTGCAAAAAGAAAATAAAAACAAGCAAATAAAAACAGAAACAAAGAAGAAGATGATCGGGAGGACAGCTGTTTGTGATGATAGGGGTGGGGATGGGTAGATCTTGACATGCGACCATGATTAACGGAATTAACTACCTGTTCAGTTTTGGAGGGAATAATTATCATTTCTTTCGTTAGATTACTAATTAACTAGATTTTTTATCAACGGTTAATTGATTTTATATTTTTTATTATAAACTACGTCAAACTGTTTTTTTTATTTCAGGTGAGAAAATACGTCAAACTGTTTTTTTATGCTTTTCGACCCTTTCAGCAGATAAATAAACATGCATATATATACTAGTACACATAAAAAGAAAATCAAACGAAGAAGTCCTCACAAGCCAAACAATCCAAAATAGACCACGACCGTGTATTTATTTGAAGTTATCAAAATTAGTGGAAGAGGAAAATAAGACTTTTTTTTTTTTGGTTGCAAGTAAACACGATATAACTTAAAACCATGTAATCTTGGCCAAACTAACACATGTGGGATTGATTTATGTTTTTCGCTTTCTAAAATAATACTCAAACGTGAACATTTAAGGTATATTATCAATTTGTTATTGTCTTTTTATGCCGACCTGTGATGTCTTGAATGCGCCAATTACGTCCCTCTTCGACGTTGTTGGTCGTCCAATTCATATTGTTTTATTTTGTTGTAGTCATTAGTTTCTGTAGTTATTTTGAGAAACGATTCATGCAATGCAATCATCTGAAAAATGGAGATGTCAAACTTAAGTGTAGTGTCCGATAGTTACTTTGTCCAAAGATTTCTCTATGGGCTTCAAATATATTTTGACAAATATATTATATGTCACTAAATAATTTCGTTTCAATATTTTATTTTATTTTTCAAGTGTGCCAAACGGTTCGATTAAGTTTGTTAACTTCAGGTTCAAGTCATGTAATTTTCAGGAGAAATTTTGCATTTTTAGGATTCGAAAACGATTGAACAAGATGGTATGGACTTATGCTAATAATTCACTTGTAATCAAGCTTCCTCGACTTATCTACAATTTTTTTGAAATTGAGAAAAAGAAAAAAAAGTCCCAGAGAGTCAGAGACATCAGACATGTGTATAATAATTTATTTTGAAAATGACCACCTTTGTTTGATTAATTTGGACAAAAAAGTGAGATTCATTCATCTAAAGAAATAACGAGAAAAAGGGTAAAGTGATTGATTTCGTCCCAAACACGCTTTCATAAGGTATTTGTCTTGGCCCTTTTTGGGCTCTCGTTTGTTGATGTGGCCCAAAACGAAATCTCTCTCTACGTTGTTGCTTTGTCGTTTCTCTATTACATTTTATAACTTTACGCCGTTTTTGTATAATACGAACAGTCTCATTTCCACGTCTATTTTTTTGACCTGTATACATCTTCAGAACTCAGAAGATATATCCGGTGAAGATGAACGAGGGAGATGAGTCGAGGCAAATCCAGCAGATGGTGAGATTCATCCGCGAGGAGGTGGAGGAGAAGGCGAATGAAATCTCTTACGTTTTCAGAGTTCGGTGTGAAAGAAACTTCCGTGCTGTTGCGTTGTCGTGAAGAGCACTTGAGCGTAGTCGAGAATGTGCTCGAGGATGTTAAGGAGGATTATGCAGCGAAGGATCACATGATCCTCATAGTCTCCACTAGTAAAATCTTGTGTCATTTAGTCTTGTTCGTGACGGTACATATAAATACGAGTTCAACTTATCTTTTTTTTTGGGACCAGTTTAGTAAATAGAGTTTTGGAAGTAAAAAATTATGGTAGAGACGAGAGATCAATTAATGTGGAATCAAAGCAACACAGCTTGAACTAATGTAAGTGCTTTCTCCATACTATAGTAAGTGATGACTACGCTAGTTATTTTTCAATTTTGAATTATAATAAATCCCAACCGTTTTATCCAAGAGACCCGTTTCCGAATCCGGATTCGGACTCTGGTAGGGTTCTGGTTACAGTTGCAGATGGCATTTTACTTCTACCAACCCATCTGCTCTCAAACACTTCACCATCATTAGCTTCTCTCTCCATCATCACTTGAATCTTCTTTGTTCTTGAAATCCTAATCCCCATTATACATACAAACCCTAAGATCCCTAACACGCCAAACCCTATTACAAATCCCACAACCCACAACCACCACCAGGTCCACCACGACTCGGCCTTCTTGTTATCGTTCTCCAAGGGCTCGATCACCGAGTAGTCTCCGTGGCTCGAACCATAACACACGCCCGGGAGAACCATTCGACTTACATGAGCTGATTCCTTATCTTTGGCCTGTGCCTTGAAGCTTACGCATCTTACTCCAGACAGCATTTTCTCATCCGAGCCTTTAGGTAAATCCCTAAACGAAATTTCTACCGGATTCTTCATCCTTAGACTGATCTCTTTGACACTACCTTGATCCGAAACGTCCAACACCCTAAATCCTAAGACAGAAGCGATTAACCGGTATCCCGGTACGGTATACCAATGGTTAGACCAATTTCCTAGATTTTGGTACACAATAGCGACTCTCCTTGCAGGAGGAACCGAAACTGACCTTGCCGGAATAAGCACGTTGCTGAACTTGGCCCCGGAATTCCAAAGGCTCTTCCCGGTCAGACGAACGACGGAGACTTCGATGCCGGAGAGATTTTCCGGTAAGATAGCCTGGTAAAGAGCACCTGTATGATGTTGATTGGTTAACGTCTTGAGGGCGAAATTCTCAAGGGACTGAGACAAGGAATTTGGTAAAGTGACATTGAGGATTGATGTTGTGGAGTTTAAGTGGATGAGAGAGGATGATGATGTTGAAGAAAGTGGATTGGTGTATAGCAAGAACACAAGACAACAAGTGAGAGACTTTGAGTTCATGTTTCTCTTTCGTTTTAATTTTTTCGTTGTCTTTGGGATACTGTTCTTTAGAGATTGTGTAAGGAAGTGAAAAAAAAAAACATGTAAATGTAGGGCATGTAGGGCCATAAGTATATCATTGCATGTATTATATATGTAAAATTTTGAATGAATGGATCTAGTTTCGTCGAGGATTTGATTTTCAAACAAAATGAAATTTAGTTATAATATTTATAGTTTGGTTGGTTTTGGTTTGCAATGAAAAGTAAAGCTGAATAATTCAGATTAGAACACGGTTTTATAATTTTACTTTGTTAAGTTTGAGGGTTCCAAATTAGATTTGGTCAGCCTTGACATGTATAACAGCAATGAAACTCAAGGATTTTGTACCTAAAATTGAAAATATATTTGTGAGGTTAGTTTGAAAGTTTTACGATATAGAGAGATAAAATGATGAGAAACTAACGCATGCAAAAAAGCATCTAAGAGTTGACTCTTTTTATCTTTTGAGACTTTTGAGTAATCATGTTCATGCCGCTGATTACGCTCTTTCTTACCTTCCCAAAATCATTATCTCTAACTTTTAGAACTAAGTTTTCGATTATAAGTTTCAATTTCTTTATCAGAAGTTCACAACTATTTCATACAAAAAAATGTTGTGTTTTACACAAACATGAAATGGGCAATCTACCTATTTTCTATTCAATTTTTTTTCGACGTCAAAACGGAATAGCTTTTTTTTTTTTTTATATACAAACTTAAAATCTCTCAACATATATTGGTGGTAGTTAATAATTAATTGACAAATAAAAGTTTGTAATCAACATTAACTATAATCAATATGTTTTAGTCACTGTGACTTTAGTAAAGCTGATCACACACATTAAAACCTTACATGAAAATTCAGTAAAACTTACTTTGTTCTCTTCGCTGTTCTTGCTGTCGTGGTCTGTTTACTGCGGGATGACTTAGACTTCGCTTTTGGTCCTTTGTCCATTGCTAGAAGAGCTCTAGTCTTTTTTTTTTAGGTTTCTGTCTAGGCATCTTCTGTTTTTTGGACATTTCTGTCCTCTGACTTTGCCATTTTTCAAGGATTTTTAAGTTACCGCTCTTCCTTGCAGCTCTTGCCTATCGATTTATGAAGCTTTGGTTCTGTTTCTGTTACTGACATAGGAGGAAACTTGGTTTCGCTGATTGGTCTTTGTGCATCTTCGATACTATGGAGCTTGGGGTCTCAGAAGTCTTATTTGTCTTGCAAATTTAAGATTGTATTTGTTCTTCGAATTATTTATTGGTTCTTTTCCTGTTTTAGTTTAAAATTCGTAGAGTTTTAGCTTTGGATTTTACATTCGAATTTTAAAAATGTATCATTTTAGGTGTGTATTCAGTTTCTAATAAAATCTTCAGACGATAAAAAAAAAAAAAATCAGTAAAACTTAAGGTTTTAATTACAGAATAAAACTTACACAGACCAACCAATAATTTAAGCCTGCAAGTGAATATATTGAGCTAATATGCAATTCCTCGTAGAAATATAAGGGCCTATAATAATGGGCCTAGATAGGCCCGAAGAATGCGGTTTTAATGATTTTTGTCAATTGATTTTTCGATGGTTATTAAGTCGTTTAAATTTCGTAAAATTAAATAAAAAAATTCCCTGCCTTTTCCAGAATTCCGAACTTTCAACACCTAGAATTCTTTGACCCCACACCTGAAAAGCAAATTACAGAAAAATTAATCGAGGAAAAAACTTCAAAAGTCTGTTCTTTCTAATATTTTTTTTTTCTACAAACTAGATTATATAAGTAGAGAGAATTATAGTGAATGATGAATCATACCAAGATAGTGAAACGGTGAGATCACTAATGGTGCAAATCCGTAAAGCTCAAGCTTTAATTTGATTTATATCATTCCACACACACAAAAAAAAATTATCCCGTGCTTGTCCAAAACAAAGGAAGTCATAAAACAAAATAGTACTATCATTCGTTAAGAAAAGCATTCAGTTGAATTTTTTTTTTTAATGTAGGCTGTAGGTTGTTTAAGTGGACAAGTGTAAATATATATAGATTGATAAAAAAAATAGAAATATAAATTACTGAATGGTCATATCAAGTGATGGGGAAAACTGAGGATTCACTCTTTTCAAATAAAAATAACAATGAAATAAGTGAAACAGGTAAGAGAGAGTGTGTCTGCTTAGCCATGATTTGTGTTTCTATTTCACCACAACAAAAAGGCATTTACGTTCTATACCCAAATTGAAATACCTTCGTTTATCCTATTTTTCAATTTATTTGGTTAAAGTAATATTTTGTACTAGATCTTGAGGATGTTAATAGTGACATGTTCAGATGTGGTTGAAGCATAAAGTAAGAGTATTGAATAATTGTCTTGTTGAAGAGTACGCATGTTTTTTTCATTGAGTTTGCATGTGGTCACTGCTACTACAAATGTTGCTAACGGTGATTACAAACTGTTGTTGGCGAGATTTGTTAGTTTTCGAGTCGCGTTGCATAAGCCTTACAGAGTTATTGTTTACAGTTGCGCAGTTCAGTTAGTGTCACAATATTTTAAATATAATTGTTGATCACAATCGAGATTAGGCATAACGCTATGCTCGGGAGAGCTCTAAAATGTCTAACCACTTGTAATATATATAACACACATTTTTTTGTTAAAGATATAACAAGACTTTTTTATTACCAAATAAAATGAACTGCCTTATTATTTATATGTGAGTTTGGAGAATTCATCAAATATGTACATATCTAACTAACCAAGTATAGTGGACCTAAGGAGGAAAATAAGCTTCTGTAGGTAACACGAAAATGAAATATATTTTGAATAGAAGAAATCTTTGTTATCATAAAACGGAGTGGAACAAGTCAATATTTTTTCATAACATTATAAAACTAACAATTTAACAATAGAACTATTATGGTGTCAGTGAGATTTATAAATTTTAAACAAATTCAGACCGTTTCTAAAAGAAATGTATATATATTTTTTTTGTCTCTTATTTTCTGTGACCGGAACAGATATGATGATGAGAAGACTACAAGAGGACTGAAGCAAGTAACAAGAGACCCATGGAATCTCTGCAGTTTTGTTTCCCACTTCTGTTTTATATCAACTGGCAATACATTTTTTTTTTTAGAAAAGAGATAAAATAAAGGAGATATACAAATTGCAGAAGATGAATTAAGACAGCTGTAGAAGGACAGAGTCAAATCATGGGACAACCCTATATGACCAATAAAGGCATTGGAATCCTTTTGTCTCTCTTTCAATTACCTTATAAATGTCATAATTAATTTATATGTTTTATTTTTATATCGATAGTTTAGATAAACATAGCATATTTAACGTTTCTGACTCCAAGTCAAGTTTTACACAGAGTTACAATCTAACTGTAACGATACTCCCTTGCGAAACACCGAGTTAGTACATCATGTACGAGATATTAATGGTACATGCATTTGGCTGACTAGGTTTAAGACTTTAAGTAGTGTAAAGATGTTTTTCGTATTTTAATAAAAAAAAAATGATGCGGTTAAAGAGATAATGATCCTAATCAGCAGCTGTCTAACAAAATATGATTATAATTAGCGATGTTTTAGTTATGTTTAATTATGCTTGATAAAAAATCAAATTTCTAGAAAAGAAAGCAATAGAATAGTTTAATAATCTGAAGTACAATTATTATACAAAGATTATTTGTTTTATCTTGTTAATTTTTTATATACTCTATAAAGTTATTAGTATATATTATTCGAATTTGAATATATTCACACATACCACATTGTCAATTGTTGATATCTTTGTATTTGAATTTTTGCCAAGTCACAGTGGTAATCTGTTGGGCAACAAAAGCCTTGTCACTTGTGAAAATAAGAGTTATCAAATTACATTCATTATCCAAAAAGTATGAATCTGCCCATATTTTTACCCAATCCTAAATTCTTCGAACCAACTGTTACACCAATTAGCAACAGTATGAACGGTAGGTTTCTAACCACGTTCGTAGATTAGCAATCATACTTTATATGGTAAAATTGAAGGAACAAATATCTTATTGAAAGGAAAAACCAAAAATCGTACTATAAGAAATGATGGAAGAAGAAGAAAAGAGAGGCATGAGACTAGATGTGCCGATGGACAGATGAGAAAAAAGTTTGATTAGACTAATTTTTGTTTTTGTTAAAGTTGTGACACAAAATCAAGCTAGCAGGTTTATTTTTGCAAGTAATATCCATTATTACTAGTATTATTTTCACTTTTGGGCTCTCCACCGAGAATCTGATGTGATGATATTCCCATATTTCTTTTTGTGAAAGGATACTCCCATATTTCTTTTAAGAAGTTACGTTTTCATACTTGTAATAATTCAAATTCATCAATTCGCGTGTTGCGTAGTGGCCATACAAGCCGGGTCAAGTAAGTTTGATCTGGGGTCAAGTTTGTCACGTGAATGAAGTTGTTGGTGATGGTTTTGACCATTTTTTTTTCCTACATGAATTACTAAACCGTCTAACAATGGAGTTATTTAGTAAACAATCAAATATAGCAAAACATGCTTAGATTCATGCTAAAACATGCTTGGTCTAAACATAACGTTAGTAGTAATTTCTTAATCTGCGAACATAACGTTCCTTGAAACTATATGTTTCAAATATAACACTAAATTTTAATGTTGCGTCGAAGGATCGTTGTGCAATTGATTTTTTTTATTAGAATGTCTCCCAGCCAACGTACCAATTATCGGTTAACTACTTAAATTGAAATGATGATGTCTATATACCAATGGGAGAAATGATCGGTTATTGCGTGTACACAACATTAAACTAGAGTAAAATTCTCTAAAAGCGTGTACACAAACATTTGGCTTTTGATTATGCTTAAATGAGTCTAAATTCCGACATGGAAACATATTTTATACTATAGTAGTATATGTCACTAGGCATAAGTTTAATTGAGAGCATTTCTTTAGATTGATGCTTGATGAAATCAACCTACTTAGCTCCTACAACGAATAATAAGGCAGCACTATTACACCAAACCTACGTATACTTAAGTTTCCAACTAGGCGTCTTTTCACCTGGACATTAACCAATAGCAAGTCTGAGACTCTGAGTCATTAATCTCTTTGGACGGTGGTGTTAAATGGCTTAATTCCATTTTTTATTAGTATTTATAATTTTCGTCAAATGGTCAAAAATGAATTTCCAATATACTTCAAACATGTGAAAAATATAATCAGAAATATACAACAACTTCGTTAATCGTCCAAAATTAGTTTTTCAACATTTATAATTATTTTATAGAACTTATACCCTGTTTTTTTTTTGTTAGTATTTAATAGTTAGGCTATTCCTTTTTTCAACTTGCCCTAATCAAAATTCCAAACTATTCAGCCGATAAACACTGGGATAACACTCAACCCCATTGTTGATTTGATACGTGATAATCACTTATCATTACACGAGATTAGCTAAGCTTTGAAGATCCTCAAAGGTTCAACTATCTCAAACGAAAGACTGTGTGAAGATATAATATATATACCCATATACTGTATGTATATTTCTAGTATAAAATATAAATGCAAACCATATATAGCGATATATATAAATTTTGTATATTGCTACGAATAAATATACACCATCAAACATTACAACAATGGTAATTTGCAAATGGCCCCTTATATGCCAGTCGTCCATCGTTAAAGTCTTACAAATAATTTAGGAAGATGACACTGATTAACATCGTCTATACAAAAGACACGAACCCTTTCAGCAGCAGGCGAGCAAAACCCTAACGGTCCTCTTCCACGGTGAAGAAGAACGTCTCGTTCCAAGTCACATTTTCCGGCGAATCTTGTCCAATTAAACAAAAGAAAATTATCTATATTAAATAAGAAATACTAAAAACCAAGAAAAGATAAACAAAAACAATTACAAATTAATGTTGTTAAAAATTATCATAAAAAATAGAAATTGATGGGTTTGATAAAATTTCTCCTTCTAAAGACAAGATATGATAGTGCCACCCGAAAAAAGATTTGGTAAAATAAAATACAATTATTGCTTGTTCAAATAAATTTAAAAAGTGCATAATGCTAAAGAAGTGAAGTGTGACAGAAAACTCAGACCGACACCGACACGTAGATGTCAATAACATGTGACCAAAGTAAGATTGTTAGAAGTAGTACTAATACTGAATACAATTTGATAAAAAAAAAAAAGTGAATAGAATTATTGTAATGAAAATATTAATAAGTGCTGCATTAGGAATTTTCAATAATTTAATAAAGTGTTATCTAATTTTCAATAATTTAATAAAACATTAATAAGTGCTGCATCCGAATGATTTTCACAATGGAGATAAATAGTCATTTCAACTTCCAAAGGCTAGGAAAGCAGAAACCGAAGCGCCTAATATACGAAAAGATTATTAAATACCAAAAATATAAAAAGACTAAAGAATTCCTTCGGAGAGAGAGGACTATAATTGGGAAGTGTAAAATAAATGAAAATTATGGGAACTTGTTGCTGCAGTTTTTATCTCTTCAAGCCCCAAGAGAAAACAAAGCTAATAGTAATAAGTTTGTCGTCAAGCTTTAACCTTTGTCTTCCTTTTATACAAACATTTTCAATTACACTAAACCCTAGCCATCTAACTAATAGACAAAACCCTACTTGTAAATTGCAACCGCTAATTCCCAGAGTACAGACTACAGAGAAAAACTATGAGACAGGGAGATTCAAATAACAATGAAATGAAAACTTGTATATATATATATATATTATATAAATGGCTAGTAAATTAGAGATGAAGTATATTAGAAGAAGAAAAACCTAATTTGCTCACTAGGGCACATCAAATTAAAGATAGTAAACTAGGAAGACGATTAATTAACCGGACGGTGATTATTAGAAGATTGAGTACGCCGATAGAGAGTGAGAGATACCAGATTCAAGTTCCACAACTTGGTCATACTCTTCGTCAGGACGATGTCGGAAACACAGAAACCAAAGATATAAAATGTTAATTTCACCAGACACATACGAACGAATGTCTTTCAGACGCTATGTATAGTAGATCGTACATATTCAAGCTTAATCAAGAAAACTGGAATACCAAATATAGAGGGAGCTCCCTTCAGTCCAATCATAGAGAATCAATGACCCAATTTGTCTACCGCTTCATTCATTCATTTAACGAGTCTTGCTCGAATTTTGGTGACTCGGTATTTGGATGAATGAGTCGGAAGCTAATTGGATCATATCACGACCTGTGAATGGACTCAAGGAAGCTCTCTCTCTTTATCTATTCCTACCACACCAATTCAAAACAGTGATTATTCATAGATGATGTTCTCAATATAAACTACATGTACGTTTTAGTGTCCGAGTGTGTATGTGATCTATATATGCATGGATCTAGAACCTTAGCAGGCGAGAAAGAATGATTTTGAAGAATATGCAGCAAGATATAAAAGAATAGAAAGAAACCCTAGATCCCATCTAAAAGTAAAAGCAATTTACATGGATCTTTGACAACAACAATTCTTATGTATGTAAGATAGAGAATGGAGAGATAAGAAACTTTGGAACAAAAGATAATTGATGAAAAAATTAGAGATTTAGAGAGAGATGATGGTATGTATGTATGCATGTATTGTATGGAGAGAATGGATGTGAGAGATAAAAGAGTTTGAACAAAAGAAGTATAGATGGGAGAGAGAGAGAGAGAGAGATGTAGAAAATAGATGATGGATGCGAGGAAATACACAATGGATACGACTATGCAAAAGTAGTGATGGGTTTTATAAGCTTCAAATTTTGAACCTTTTAGGTAAATTTTGTATTATAAAAAATTGGAAAATTCTCTAATTGATTACCCTATACAATATATATACTCCTATATAGTAGTAGTTCTTAACTTCATTGGTACGTGGACTTGGACACAAACAAAGATAATGTAGGAAACTGGCAATAATTTAATGTGTAGACAGGCTTACACCGATCCCTTTTCTCTTCTACAAGCTTCTATACCTATAAACTTAAAAGTACTTATCAGTCTCCTTTGTTGTTGGGGTGTTTATATGACAAACCATATGCTATTCAATTCATAAAAAAACCTCAAATCCATTGTTATTAGTTGTAATATTTGTAAATGAACATTCCACCATAAGGTGAAAAAAAAAAAAAAAACATTTCACCATAAGTTGAACAAAAGTCTCAACTATTCATCCTCACCTTTCACAGTTTCACCCAATGTTCTTCATTTTGTGTTGTGGATCATCTCCATTTCCTAGAAGCCAAATGCATTATATGATTCATAGATTACAAAGAGGCTCTCCAAAGTCCAATCCCATTAAAAAAAAAAAAAAAGAAGAGAATCTTCTCTTTTATTCGGATTATTGTCTTCTGATTTTGCATAGGCTTTATGCGGATTAGGCCAAACACAAATAAAAACATATCTAAAAGTATTAAGGTTTCATGCTCGAAACGATTCACTTTTACACCCCCTCGATGGCCTTTGATTATACTTTATTCTTACAACCTTCTCAATGAAACAAAATCCAATGGTTTCCTTTGTTTTGAATTTTATTACAAACACAACAAAAGTGTCCTAAGCACCTTCTGGAGAGAAGAGTACAATAATAACTCAAAGGCGCAAATGGAAAATCAATAGCAACAGTTCATCAAATCCGACAAAAAACTCTATCAGAAACGAATGAACGAATCCAATCAAAACAACACTTCACACCATTTTACAGTCGATGGTTCTGCTCGTGATCTCAGTTCTTCACTGTGGTCACATGTTTCAGAAGCATTTCCACAACATCTTTGGAGATTCTCGAAGCTTCGTTCTTCAGTTGCTCGATTTTGGCATCAGTCTCTTGCTCAAGCCTCTTCACGTTTGCACCTGAATCTCCACTGGTCTGTTTTGGCAGTCAAGTTTTTCTCGTCAATAACCATAGTCTTTATAAGGACCAGGATGTATATAAGAATCACATTTTTCTTGTTCTTGTAATTTTACCTCTTCGAGTTTCCTCTGGAATCCATGCTCGGTACTGGTTTTGTGCTCAGAAACCTCTGTTTCAGCCTCTTCCTTGGCTTGCTTCAGCCTCGCCATTTTTGCTGAAAACCATAACAGCATTCTCAATCACAAGTTGCAATTCTGTAATTCATTTATAGTGCCAAATGTTAAAAATCCCACAATGAGCTTTAAGTTCCCAATCAAATGTTAGTCAACCGCCACTCTAAGCAACAACATTATTATCATCATAATTACAGTTGGATGCGTTTTTGCGCATTCACGTCACAGTGAAGAACCCTGTGGCTCTTTACATCAAGACAGTACGTGTAGAAACCCGAAAGAGAGATACAAAGAACATGTAACGATGAGTAGTAAACCAATCAGATGCAAGAACTTTGAGCGATTCTAGAGTTTCAGATATATCAAAGAATAAAAACAGAGCGTGTAATTACCGGTTCTGGCGGCATTGACAATTTGCTGAGCTTCGTGTTCAGCAGCAAGCAGTTGCTGGATGCCTCCATGATTACCGGCGGATTCCATTGTTTCCTTGTAAAACCTCGAAAAAACCTGTTTGTCAAGAATAGCGCAAATCATCGGATCAAGCTCAAACCTCGAACGCTGATCGGATTCAGCAGATTGCAAAACTTGAACAAAAGTCTTTAAAACGTTGATCGGATTCAGCATAGCATGAGTAACCAATAAGTTTATTCGAGTCAAATCACGATTTCCCAAAGCAGGATCTGTCTAGCCCCAGCAACCAAACTCCATAATCGCACAATTCAGCATTCAGAATCACAACAAGTTCGAATTTTTCGATTCGACATTGGAATGAAAATGAGATCTACGATCGAAAATGGTACAAACTGCTTGAAATGTGAACAATCCATTAAGAATCCAGCGAAACTTTTTTTCTATACGATCTTAAAAACCCGGAGATGAATTTTTGGTGACAGCCTTAAAATTTGTTAAATCTCCTATTGACTAATAACGATCCTTGTCTCGGGTTTCGATATGAGCGATCCCAGAATCTAGAGGAGGGAGAAGAAACATACCTGCTTCGGCGAAATCGGAGAGAAAGAGAGAAGACGAAGATATTGATTAAGCAGCGTTTAGAATTAGTTTTTAGATCAAACAATTGAAACTCTGGATACAGAGGAAAAGAGATCAGATGATTTCCCACGATAACATGGGCCTGATGAAACCCATTATGGTCTTTTGCATATCAGGTCCATTAGCCAGTTAATGGGCTGTAAAGTATGCAAATATAAGCCCATGTACTTTCACACAGACCCGCTATTTCAATACGTAAATTTCGGATATTATATCATTTTTTAAAGTAAAGTAGACACTAAAAGAAAATATTTCTTCCAAACAGAGAAAATCATTAAAAAAATATATCGTAAAACTATAATGTATGTTTGCATTTTGTCTACCTTTAAAATACATAGAAGAAGTTTAGTAAAATGTGTATTTATAGTAGAATTATATTTTAAAACTTTATATCAAATTAATACTAGATTATTTGTTTTTTTCGTTTTTCTCATTTTATTTATCATAACATAATTTAATTTTTACTTAAAGGAGAAAGTGTATTGGTTTACTCCTTCCATTTCTATGATTTTTAAAATGTTTCATAAATATTAAAAAATAATAATTATTTACATTTCTAAAATATTTTTTGTTCGTTTAATACTGATTTCAACCTTGAGAGCTAGAGAAGCATAGAGTTTAATTGTTCTTCTTACAACTAACAATCGTCTTACATATCATGTATTCCATTTTTATAGTGAATGATGCGAGGGAAGTGTTTCACCAAGATGTACATTAGTTCTCACAACAAAACTCAAAGAACTTGAAATTTGTCATTCTGTCGGTTAATTGTGCATAAGTATTAAGTAATTGAGCATCTTAGATCAAGTTACAAAATATACAGTTTTATAGTTTTTTTTTTTTTTTATTTGGTTTTAATCAGAGAGTGATCCGAATTTTTAACACCCAAATAATTCATTTAGGGTGATTATATAACCCGTCAATGATTCCATGGAGTTTTCTAATAAGTACGAATCATATGTAGCATCAGTGAAAATGTTTCTAATAAGAACCAAAACCAAGAAGAGGGCAAATTTACAAAATGTTTCTGGATCTTTTACCACTAAGCGATTATCACTTGGTTGTATTATTGCGATGGAAACGGGGAGTATGTCAACAGCATTGTTGTGTCAACCCGTTTCTAAAATTTGTAACTATGTCTCGCACCTATAAAGTCTTCTAGATTTATTCTATTATAGTATCAATTATTGAAATGAGTTGTTAATCAATAAATGTACGATCTATCTCAGATTTGTTGATGTAGTACTTTACCACCAAATATAATTAACACTAGTTAATTATAAAGGGGTTGACGAGAAGCATAGAGTTTAATTGTTCTTCTTATAACTAACATTCGTATTCGATTTTTATAGTGAATGATGCGAGGGAAGTGTTTCACCAAGATGTACATTAGTTCTTCTTATAACTAACATTCTAAAATTATATAGACTACAATATATATAAATCTACTCATGATAGTTTTAATTACTAAAAATATAAAATAATAATAAGTTCAACTTATTTTTTTTGAACAACTAATGATACAAAATTCTATTAGTAATAGCAAACTGAATAAAAATCATTTATAATAGCATCTTATCATCATTACTGTTATCAGACTTTATATTTTTCATTATTTATTGGATACTTTTATTTATAATAACTTATTTTATGAAAAATTACATCTTTTCATAGTTGTGTTTTTCCAACTCTATAAAAAATATAGAAAACAATTTAATTTTAGATATTGTTTAGCAAAAATGTTTATTAAACTAATGTATTTTGTTTTTTTTGTTTTACTTATTTTCTACTTAATTTTTGCTTTTGCTTTGCTTATTTTTATGAAGATGAAAATGAATAAATGTTAATAACAATAAGAGTCAATATATATAACAATGATGGTGATATTGTTATAAGAGTAGATATATATATATATGTGTATAAATTACATATAAATTTTAGAAATAAAAATATTTATGAAAAATAAGTTTTTTTCGAATGTAACAATTAAATACCTAGTACATATAACATAATAACGAAAAAAAAAATTAAGTATATAGTATTAAGTTATTGTAAATCAAGATAACAAAACGGAAAAACAATGTAGATTAGGATATCATATGCACAAGATTATTTTTAAAATGATGCAAATAAGATAATCAAACATAAATGATAAAACTGTCAAAAAAATCAAAACTACGGGGGTGGTATTGGATGATTTAGTTTGATAAAATGTACAAGAATTAAAAAATAATTAATTTTTAAGTAATTTAAAGTATCTTGTAGGAATTTAAACCAATTTTATCAAAATCCTAGTATAAATGGTAGGAATTGGTTCTTAACCATTTTTAGGTGAGATTCTATTAAATTCTTTCCAAATAATAATACAATCAAATCAAAGCTATTACAAAATTGAATAACACAGATATTTAATAGAATTGAAAAAATAATATATTGAATAACAATGATATTTAAAAGATTTTGAAAGAATTAATGGAAACATTTAATCCAATAATACAAGTATTTAAAGGAATTGATAAAATATACTATTGAATAACACTGATATTTAATGGAAACTTCAATTCCTTTCAATTCAATCCAAATTTTAAATTCAATACCCCCACCTACATATAATCAGTTTTACTAACAAAAACTTAAATATATGGTTAATATATATTTGTGATGCTTGATATGCTTTAAGCAAAGGACGGGTCTGCGTAGTCGAGTCTAAACTTTTTTTTTCTTTTTTTCTTATAATTTCCTCATTCTTCTTCTATTTGTGTTAATTACTAGTCTACTAAACACTAATTGAACCCGCAATCTAGTCTATGTGTATCAAATGTGGGATAAGAATTGGCTTTCCTAGGTGGGCCCAGTTGAAATACAAAGAAAAAAAAACTTGTAAAACTACGTCATACATGATTACCTAACACTGATTGGAGGAAAGTCTATGATTGTGTGGTCACTATGACCGTTCATATATTTTTTCATTTGTTCAAATTCATTACTTAACGTACAATGATTGATAAAAACTTCGTCATCGGAATCAAATTTACTTAAAAGTCGGCCAGTCCTGGTTTTTGTTGCCAAATTTGATTGTGCTTGCGATATTTACAGAAAAAAGAGGAGTTGTGGGAAAATTTGATTGAGTTGGCATATACATCCACCGTAGAATTAGAGAAAATGAAAAATGAACGACTTTTTTATCTTTCTCATGACGGAAACTTGTAATTTAAGATTTGGATAGTGTTATCCATCGGATTATCCTATCAAAATTAAACTTATAAAGTTGAAAGTCAAAACTAATTGTAATTTAGTTGACTCTGTCGGATGAAAGCGATTTATAGGACTAGTAAATATATTTTATATTAGTGAAAGTTGTTTAAAAATTCAGCAATGCAATGAACTTTTAGTATGGCTGAAACGTTACACGTCCACGTATCGTTGATATCTTATTTTCTCCCACGTGTCCGAAACTTCATCGTTTGTGGTTTTTTTTGCCGGCTCGTAATTTCTGGATTAGATTATAGTTGATTCCGATTCCAATTAGAAAACGAGTACTCTTATCGTTTGAGAGGTTTACCATTTCAACATGACAGACATAATATATACAGGTGTGCACTGCACACTGGACAATCAAAGCGTAGTATGGTACCTGCACGATTTTTCTATTTTATACATTAAACACACATTGTATGATAATAATTTGTACATGCCATTTACTATAAATTTAAACATATAAATATACTTTAATTGGTTGCTGATTATAGTAGTTCTTACATATTAATATATATGAGTCATACTGTCATAGTTAAAATTCAAGAATATCCCAAACTTCTCGACAACTCACGCTTTTATGATATCTTTGTATATATTTAAACATTAGTCAGTATATACATAGTTTTATGTGAGTAATTTGACAATAGTTCATGAATCGTTATCCTTGTTTCTTTTAAGATTATTAAATTTTCCAAGTGATCCAATAACCAACCAACAGTTTTATATGTTTTCAATCAACCGAGCATTGACATTCATATTAAAACGATACTCTGCATTTGCAATCTGACATTCCAAGTATCATTGAATTTATTTAATTAAGTTATCGGACGGATAATCTGTTTTGATAAATAGCATTTATACATAATAAAAGTTTTCCTTTCATAGTATATAAGTATATATAATTATGTAGTTCACTGGTTAGTGGTTAGTTTTAATGTTATTGATGTTGTGTTAGACCATTCGTATTCAATTATGACATAATGCTTATTTATTCTACTGAAAAAGGTAGATATACTGTTGTATCATCGACATTGTACTATTGGGGTCCCAACCGTTTTGATTTATACAGGTGCTATAGCAGAAATAATCCGACCATTAAAATGAGGTGTTAGATTTTTTATTTTTTCGTTCATCTTGAACCGCGGATTTCATTTTTTTTTTGTCTATTAGTAGTCTTAAACCAATATTAATTCTTGTTTGTGGGCAAACAAACCAATATTTATAATATCATGTTTTAATTAGGTTTACACAAAAGGCCAAATAGATTTTACGATCCAACAGAGTTACAGACGAATAGGCCAAGGAGGTTTTTATACTAAGGCATGTTGAAAATTGTACACCAGTACAAAAAAATATATGATCTTTGTAACCCCATATACCTTTTTACTTTATATTAATTGAGATATGTATTGTGTATAAAATAATTAATTGTGTGGTCGGTGTTTTATTTTGGGAGTTTAGTCATATTTACTTTTTGTGTATGTACGAGATACAGTATATTAATTCCTTCTATGTTTAAGAGCAAGAAAAAAATCTTGAGCAAGAAGCTCTTGGTCAAATTTACGTCGACAGAAACGTGTTTGATAGTGTCAATAAGAGAGGAACAAGTACATTTGCAAATAAGTCTAGTGAATAGTTAGACTTATTTTCTTCTTTAGGTGGCTCTGAAATATGAACACCAAAATATAAAAGACTGTAATATTGGCTTATCTTACAAGTGGCAAGTATACAAACAAGACTTGTACTTTTTTCATATATCAAGTTTCTGGGATATTTCATTTGATAGTTTCTAATACTTTCATTTCGTAGTATATATATAAATAAAACTATATGA